AGGGAAGAATCCCAACCTTGTTAGCCACTCAAAACAGTTTCCTGCATCCCATTCTCAGGCAGAAAATCTTTTTCCCAGCCTGGTCTGGCCCACCCACAGGCAGGGGCTGGAGTTGGAATGGGGTCTGTTAATTCAGGATCTTTATCAAAGGGTCCTCCCAACAGCGAGTTTGGGAAAATACCCCTGGGGCACAGAATAAACCAGCTAGCTGCACAAAAGGAGAATCAGAGGAGAACTAGGCCATCAGCAGCATTAGGATTTTGACTGGTCAGAATTCCAAGCAAAGTGCCATCAGCAGGTGGGCCTCTGAGGGCCAGGCACATAGCTGGTTCTCCATAAGAATTTTAAGATCTGACAACAGAGCCAGGAATCTTGCAGGTTTACTCATTTTGATAGGCACTCAAGACGTTTCCTGAATGCCGCTGTGCCAAGGGCTGGAATACAAAGATGTGAGGCCCAGCTCTCTCAATGAGCTTCTGGCTGTGGGGACTTGGGTGTAATGACCATGCTAACTCAGGAACCAGTGTTATGACAGGAAAGCTCAGGGTATCTGGACCGCCAGCACCTCAGCTGAGTCCTGAAGGATGGGGTGGCCTTTGTCCAGGAAACAGAAAAAACAGCATGGACATAGGAAAGGGCCTAGGAGAGCACAGCCACTTGGGATGGCAGGCCCTTCAGCTCTTTAAGGGGGCAGGCCAGTGAGTGCCATTTGTGGCTCAGAATAAAAAACAATTTTATAGTCCAGCCTCATGGGCTCCAAGAAGCCGAAGGACCTGAGACAGAGGCCTGGGGTTCACCAGATTGTTGAGGAAGCCAAATGCCTCTGTGTTCTGGGGAAGGGTCAGCCCAGGAAGGCAGGAAAACACACCAGAGGCAGGAGGAGTTAATGTATACACCCAGATCCTTTTAATGCCCACAGGTTTACCAAGATATGAAGGTTGGAACGACCCTTGCCAGAAAGGAAATTAGAGGAGAATCAGGGAACAAGGGCAAAATGATTCAAGGAAAGGCTGAAGTGACAGAGGTGAGGGGACCTTATAGTAGGACACAGGTAATGACCTATATTTAGAACACTACACAGGGAAGGGCTTTTATTGGTAACAGAATCACCCACTGCCAAACCCTCAATGTGTGTGGTAACTCCATTAAAACTGTGTAACAATTAGGCAGACACACAGTTTCAGATTATGAAAAACAGGTCAAGCCATGTGTGTAGTGTGTTCTCAATCACCTGTAAAAGAAAAAGAGTATGCCTAAGAGGGATAGAAGGAGAAACCATGACTACTCACATGTGACCCCTGCCAGCATATCTTTGTACAGTAACCGATCAGGCCAGGAGACAACATAACTATACAGGACAGAATGAGATCTTGTCTCTCATCTCCTAAGTGAGTAAGGTACCAGAGACAAAAATAACTCCTAATGGCCCGTGCACTTATCAGAAGCTGGGCCAAGTCCTGTGGGTAGACAGGGGTTCCTTTCACAATATCAGCCTTTCCTCCCCCTCCCCCCTTAACCCTCAGTGTGAGAGAAACACTGAGGAGTAGCCACCAAATACTTGGCCTCTGTATCCTCAACAGTTTATGCTAAGTTACCACACAGAAACTGGGGTCCTGGGAGAACAGCAAGGAGACCTCAAAAGTTCTGCAAACTTGGATCAATCTCCGGGTCTGAGATTGGCCTTTTTTTCAGAGATCTAACTGTGAGAATGCTCTGAGAGGACCAATCTTCAGTCTGGAGGGAAAAGTGGTCCTTTGGGATGAGTGACAACCTGGAAGTGTCCTAAAAGGCAAATAAACACATGAGACAGGAAGGCCCCTGGAATTGATTGCATGGCTTTTGCACCTTGGGCATTTTACATCTTGCCATTCACACTAACGAACAAACTGGGCCTTTGTCACAGGAATAAAAAGCCCACTATCCTGACTCCACACCCCGAAAAAATCAAGGGTTTATTAATGAGAATTCTGTTAGCTTATCTACCCTGCTTTATAAACATAAAACATTAGGTGCCTCCAGGGTTCAGTCTTTTTTTTTCCCATACACTCTCCTGGGAAGGCCTATCTCACTACTCCCAGGCTTTACTGCTGCACAGGAAGGAGCCCCCAAAATGCTCTTGATCTCAGTACACTCTCCTTGGCTCCAGACCAACATATATCCATCTACTGCTGAGAAGTCTTACTGTCCCTCAGATCAACATCTCCAAACTTCAAGTCACCACCTGTCCCCATGTCTGCCCCCCTCCTGCACAGTGTGTGTGGCATGGACACAGTTGCTAGTCACCCAATCTTGGACTATTCCCTAAGTCCTCCTTTCTCCCTTGCCATTCCTCCACCCCACACCCTCTTGCCTCTTGATTTTGCTCTCCTTTCTGTACCCCACTGTCCTTTATTAGTGCTAGGCCTTATGTCTCTCAAGAGGTGCTATGGTGGTCCCTTAACCAACCAGGTCTCAGCTCAACCCTTCACCAATCCACCCTGGCAACCACAATCTGATCGGTCACTCAAAGACCCAAGATCTCTTGGTGACTTCCCATGGTTCTCATGGTAAAATGCAAACCCAGGCCTGGTACTTAAGGCCTCTTCCAATCTCCTGCCAGCTTAGCTCCTCAATTTCATCTCCCTCTCTTTACCCCAACCACCAGAGCTACCCCCTGCCCTTCTTCTAACAGCCAGAGGATGGGTAATATCCTTGTTACTTCACAAACACTGTATCTGCCTGGAAGGCTCTTTTCCTCACATAGTCTTGCCACTTCTATTCATTCTTCAAAATTTAGCTCAAGCCTTTCTCAGGAGCCCCCACCAAAGGCCACCTGAATGCCACTCTGTGCCCAAAGCAAGCTCTGTCCCATCTATAGGAGCACCTCCCACAGTGCCACAGTTCACTGGCCTGTCTCCTGACTCCACTGTAAGCTCCATAAGGGCAGAGAGTGACTCAACTTCGTAGCCACATAACACAAGGTACAGGCCCTCCTCATGTGAATTATGATTTCAATAAACTTATGTGTAAAGAATTTTTAAAAATCATCAAATAATGAGGTTGATTCTTAGTAAAAAGCTTGAGGTTCTGTTTCCTTGATAAAGTGACACTTGAAACAGTTACTGAAATTGCTGCTTCAAGTTAAAAAGGCCTTTTTTTTAAGCACAGAGTTTTCATAACAGAAAAGGTATGCTCAAACAGGTAAAACATTGAACAGGGTAAATGTTAAGTGTTTTTTATAACCTGCTTCATTGTCTTTATGTACTTTAAACCAGAAACCATCTAAAAGCAAACTTAAATATGTCATCTGAGGTTAGCTTAGACTGTAATGAGAATTAGAAGCAACAATGCGTGCCCAAGGTCACTTGGCCTTCTGGACAGTCCTGGCAGGTGTGGTCAGCAAGAGCTGGTGAGGCCCACCTGTCAGTGAACTTGCAGATCCAGGGAGTGAATTTTATTATTGTTATGAAAGCCTGCCTAGATTACTTCTACATCCACCCCCCTGCACTTCCACTGAAGGTCACCCTTACTACCAGACAAAAACCACTACACTAATTTTACTTAGCACCTTGGTCCATTTCAAGAGATAACCCTGACCTATTCAATGCCAGGCAATGGGGGAGCAAAGGTGAATGCAACATGTCTCCAGCCCTCTTCAAAGGGAGAGACAAGCTTCTAAACAGAGCATTTGCTACCAGATAAGCACTTCACTTAAAGGCTTTACCTGAAGGCTGAGAAGAACAGATGAAGACTAACAGTCAGAATAAAGGGAAGCTGCATGTTGGGGTCATTCTACCAGCTGTAAACCTTTGTAAATGTTTGTAAACCTTACCTTTGTGAGGTTTCTTGAGCTTTTCTTATCTGGGTCTGTTTCTCCAGCTTATATCCCTTAAAATGAAAAGAACCTGCATATTTGTCTTTAAGACAATTAAGTAAACCCAGTGCCTACTATGTGCTGGAGATAGAATGTGAAGATGGAGCCCTTACCCTCAAGTGGAGGAAATAGCTAACTGGAGGAAATTACATCCTTTGAATAATGATATGGTCTTTTTAGAATGCAACTGCCTGGAAGTCCTTGCTGAGTCCCAAGCAAACATACAGCAAAATTCAGAAAACTACCTTCGAATGCTTCTATGGCCCTGGAAAGGCAGGCAGACTAATGACTTGGAATAAGCAGCTGGGAAAGACCACACCACCACCACAGCCACATTGGTCATCAGGCCTGTATCTCCTAGCACACCACTAATCTAATAGTCGACCTGTGCCTCTACACAACCCAGGTGGTCCTTAGACAGCCTTTAGCCTTTAATGTTAGCCCAGAGACTGGTGATCCAGGAGGCCCACAGCACAAGTTTCCATACTGAGTACGGTTACCAGTACCCCCGCTCAAAGAAAACCATGACCAGATACAGCCCATCCCCGACCTCTAGCTCAGATAGCACAGTACCCAGGGACCCTGTGGAAATGCTTTTGCCTCTGGGCCCAGGGGCCAGGCCAAAGGAGCACCTTCCAGACAGGGCTCAAACGCTAGGAAGAAAGTAGGCGAGCATGTCATCCTCAGGTAAGAGGAGGGCAGGAAAGGACTAGTTGCAGGTCTTCGACGGCAGGACGTTACCAGAGATTCTGTTACAATTTCGCGTCCAGAAGAGAATTTCATACCCCTCACAGACAAACAGTGGCCCAAGGAAGGAGTGACACAGAGCTCCTTATGACTGATGCCTCACCCTGGGCCAGCCAGCACGCAGACGGCCCTGCCCCTGGGGTAAGTGTCCGGTGGAGCCGAGGTCCGCGGGGCAGCGCCGGGGGCGGCGGGCAGTGACAGAAGGACAGCCGCGGACCCCGGACCTCCGCGCAGCGGCCAGCCTCCGCGCCCCACCTCTGACCGAGGCCCCACAGCCCGACCCCCACGCCCCTTCCCTCAGCATGCCCCCACCGCAGTGACAGCCGGCGACCTGCTACCGCAGTCCCCGAGGCCCGGCGGCGGGCAGTCACGCCCAGTGCCAGTCCCGCTGCGTACCCACCTCTACAGCCGCTCCGCAGCGCACAGCGCACCGCTTTCTTCTCTGCTCGCCGCACAACTGAGCGCGGGCTTCTCTACGCATGCGCGCAGGCTGCCCCGCCCCCACCGAGCACGCGCCACCGGCTGCCCACCCCGGGCTCCCCGGGTCTCCGCTACAGCAGCCTCTGGGCATGCGCGCCGACGTTCCGCGCGATGGGAGCCTGCGCCAGCCCAAGACCGTCCAGGCGCTGAGGAACAGGGGTTCGCGGGCCGTTACTCCTGGCGGGAGTCGAGTGGGCAGAGGGACTACCAAGCCCTGCGGAGGATAGGGCTAGGGGAATCAGGGGATAGGAGGGCTGTCCGCCGGAGTTGCCGCCCCCCCAGGTTGCATGTAGACGCGGGAACACGCGTCCGCGTGGGCACGACGTCCGGCTCCGAGTGGGAGACAGGACGCCGGGGATCCTAGAAGCGGGACCTTAGAGGAGAAGCCCAGAGGCCAAGTCCGAGAGAGACAGCTGGACGGAGACAAGAGACGGACACATCAGGCCGAGAAAGAGGGTGAACACAGGCGGAGACAGGGACGCCCAACCGGCAGAGAAAGGGCTGGCAAAGGGGACGGGATGCAGCGGGTGGGGGAGCGGACCAGAGGCCTCCGTCCTCGCTAGGGGAGGAGTCACAGCGCCCTCTGCAGGTTGTGGCAGAGGGCGGGGGAACCAGTGTCGCCAATCCCCAAGGGGGTCCGTGGACATCTGTGGTGGCCACAGTGCCTCGGGGTTATAGCGCTCTCTAGCGGATTACGAGAGGCCGTGGGGAGTGGAGTCACAGCAGCCCTTGATGTGTTCTCAGACCTATAATGAATGAGTCCTTCCTGGATTCACAAGGGACTGCATAACCTTTTGGGGAATGTCACAGTGCCTTTTATAAAGGTGAGACCGCCCTTTGAGGGACTACGACATCACAGGGAGGCGGGTCACAGTGGCCTCTGGAGTGTTCGCAGAGCTCCCAAGTGTTGGACCCCACGAGGAAGTTTGGCAGCCTTTTGTAGGTATCACGGTGCCCCCCTTGGAGGGGGCAGATAGCGCGAGTGTGGGGGATCCAAGGAATCCTCTAGGATAATGGCCAAAAGAAGCTTCCAAACATCTTTGGGGCTATGACATCCCTCTGTGTCGCTGCGTAGGTCACACCCCCTCCTGGGCCCCGGCGTGAGGCACAGTGGGAGGTGTCCGGCAGGGTTGGGCGGGGGCCGAGATGGCGACGCGCGGTACGCAAGCAAAGACTCCTCCGCAGACGATGCACTGGTTGAACGTGCGCCTTGATGTGGAAGCAGCGCCCAGCCAACCAACCAACCCCAGCCTGGCCTGCAGGCTCAGGCCACCCCACAGCGCCCCCGTCGCTCCCGCCGCTGCAGCCTCCTAAGGCGCCGCGTCCACGTGTCGCGCCAGGGCAGCACGAGACTCCCGCGGGTGGCGCTGAGCCCGGGCCCTCGGCCCCCTGGATCCCCGACCGTGGCCACCTGCCCGCCCCCCAGCAGCAGGTAGCGGCGGCCAGGTAGCAGGTGTGGGCAGCCGCAGGCAGCATCCCGCGCCGGCACCCACAGTGCACTGCTCCCGCGCCGTGCGCGCTCCTCGCCGCTCCGGAACACAGCGAGCACGGCCACCGGGAAGCGCGTCCACAAGCCACGTGTCTCACCACGTGCACCCACCGCCACCTGCACCGCTGCAGCAAGGGCGAGAGGGGAGCAGGGTCAGGCTAGGAGAGGGCAGGCCACATGGAGGAGCACTGGGCACCCTTGGCTGGGAGGGAGGGCAGAGGAAGGCCACAGAGGACACCCACCGGAGAGGGAGGGCATAGTGACACCCCTAGGGACTAAGGGGGCGGGGCCAGCGGCCATGGGGGACCCGAGGGATGGGGGTGGGTGGTCTTGGAGCCTAGCAAGAGTCGGGGTATCCAAAGGAAAAGCGGGGAAGGCAAGGTGAGAAGGCGGGGAGCAGGAGGCCTAAGGACTGCCTACCATAGTCCTTCCTGCAGAACTTCTTCAGGCTGATGCGGTAGCTGCCACGAGTGGGTTTGCAGTGCAAGTCGCAGTCTGGGGAGAGGCGTAAGGCAGTGAATGGGGGGGCTGGCACAGATCCCTCACTTCCTTCCCCCAACCTCTCCTCCTCCCCTACTTGAACCCATAGCATCCCTCCCCCTGTGGACATGCCAGTCTAGGACCCTGATCTGTATCCACTCACCTCGAGGCTCCACAGGCCTGCTCTCCTCAGTAGGTCCAGGGACAGGGGTCTCTGCAGAGAAGGTGGAAGAATGGCCTGCATTCAAGGGTGTCAGGGGGATCTGGAGTGCTCAATGGACAGGTAGGCAGCAGCAGGGAGCTGGGGTGGCCTAAGCAGGACAGGGTCACTCACTAACACAGGGTGCCACTGGAGAGCGACTCTGCTGGAAACCAGGGGCGCAGCGATTGCAGGTGAGGCCAGTGACACCATCTTTGCAGGGACACTGGCCTGTGGTCTGGTTGCAGGTTTTCCCAGCAGCACCAACAGGGTGACAGTCACAGGCTGAGGACAAAGGTGAAATGGTCAGAAACCCATCTGGGGATATGGGAAACCGGAGGGTGAGGATGTGCAGGCTCACCCCTGCAAGCGTGGCGGTCACTTGGAGCACGGCCTGGGTCTCGATAGAAGCCCTCTCGGCAGTAGTGACAGTGGCGGCCAGCAGTATTGTGCCGGCAGTTGAGGCAGACGCCACCACTGCGGCGGCCTGACAGCCGGTACAGCTCCATGTTGAAGCGGCAGCGGCGGGCATGGCCATTGCAGGAGCAAGCTGCAGAGAGGGACGGGTCAGGGGCAGGCTGGCTGGGTCCAAGAACCCCAGACCACCCTCCAAGGCCTCACCAAGGCAGGCGTGGGCTTCCCGGGCTGTGGCCCGCTGCCACGGCCTGTCGCAGTAGAAGGGTTTGCAGCGGCCACAGTCAGGACCCTCGGTGCCATGCTGGCAGTCGCAGATCAGGTGGCCCTGGGTGTCCAGCAAGCACCGCGAGGCATGCCCATTGCACTTGCAGCGCCCGCCCACCTGGAGCTCAGTGGCTGAGTAAGAGTAAGGGACCACGGCCTCGGAGTCCCTGGTATCTCCCAGCGTGGCAGGCCTTGTGAGCACTACTTGAATGTCCGTAGCAGTCACCCAATCTTGGAGCACAGGGCTACTGTCCAGATCCAGTCCTGGCGGGCTGCTGTCCTGCACGCTGAAGGCCAAAAGGCCACCACCATCAGGCTGGGTCTGGGGCTCAGGGAAGCACAAAGCTTCAGGCCCGGGGCCAGGGGGGCCATTGGCAGGGGCAGGCAGGCGGCCGTAGTCCAGGTCACAGCAGGAGGAGAAGTAGCCTAGAGGGACCCAGCTGCGGCCATGGTCCTGCGACTTGAGTAGAGCCACTGAGGTGGGGGGCGTGGAGCAGAAGCGCAAGCTCACGAACACCAGCTCAAAAGTTTTGCCCAGGGATACTGTGAGGGTCACGTTGAGGGGTGCCTGCATCAGCCAGTCCGAACGCCAGCACACAGGGCTTGTGGTGCCCCCTGTGAAAGTCAGGAGGGTAGCAGAATGTGCCCGCCGCGCGTCAGAGGAGTCACAGGCCTGCGCGGGTGGCTGCCCACACGTGCTGGACGCCAGCACCTCGCGGCCCAAGGCCGCATTCACCAGGCCAGGCACGCAGCCTCGGGGCGTGCCCCCTTCGTCATGGCAGGGGTCGGTGGGCACCGGCGGCCCCGGGCTCAGCGCGGCAAAGAGCGTGCCCGCCGTCAGCAGCAGCCCCCAGGGCCAGCTGGGCATGGCCGGAGCCTCCGTGGGTCAGCCAGCTGGCCGTGGCCCCACGCCGCTGCCCTCGAGGGGGTTGAGCCCCGGTTCAAGGCTCTGTCGGCCGGCCCGCAATGCTACGCAACCACAGGCTCCAGGCAGCCCCAATGGGGGCCCAGAGGTGGGAGCAGACGCGGGCACGCTCCGGGCCTAGTGCAGCAGCAAGGATGTTGGCGCGTCCTCCCGCTGGGCCTGGAGCGATGACAGCCTTCGCACAGGCTCCCTGCGCCTCCGCCCGCGGAGGCCCCACCCACCCACCCGCTGCTCTCACTCACCCACCGAGGGCCGGGAGGAGCAGGTCTCCCGGCCTCCCGGGAATTGCCAAGGGAGGGCGGGCCCTGGGGCACCCGGGCCTCGCCACCTCCTCCGGGCTGCAGCGAGGGAGGGCGAGCTGTGCCAGGTGGGGGTGGGGGGCGCAGCAGGCTCAAGCTTGGGCCCAGCCGGAGGCGGAGCTGCTGGGGCCGGGAAGGAGGGAGGGGAGAAGAGGGGGCCTTCTCGGCATAGCGGGAATCTGAAGCAGATTCAGACACTGGCTAAGCCAGCGGGGGAGGGGCTGAGGAGCCAGGAATGCGCTGCCGGGAGGGGTGTGGAGGGGAAAGTTCAGCCACGCAGCCTGTGGGGGACCACCCAGCAGGGTCCGTGGCCGGCAGCCAGACCTTGACTGCTCCTGGAGCTGTGTAACATGCTGGGCAGGGGGTCTGGTAGGCTCCTCCCTCAGGCCCGTCAGGTAGGCTGTGCCCTGAGTCTGAAGGCTGGTGCCTGGATGCTCCCTGATGTCGGTAAAGGACATGCTCAGGGCATGGGAAGCCAAGCCATGCTGGTGGTTGTGGGGTGTCCCCAAGGCGGCATTATGCTCTAGTAGAAAGAATCAAGGATTGGGACTAGGTCTGATTTTGAACCCAAGCTGGTCTAATTTCCAGCTGTGTGGTTCACATTCTCTAACCTGCTAAAGCCTCAGTTTCCTCTTTAGACACATGCCTGTTTTTCAACATTCCCAGAGCTGGGGTGGGGGTCGGGGGTTTCATGAGCTGCAGGCTCAACATACTTGAGTCTCTCCTGCCTCATGTTCAGGAAAGACTGTATCCCTGGGACTGCCCTGAACTCATGTAAGGGATGAGGCTGGCGTCCTCCACCCAGATCAGGCTAAACTCTTGTCCCTGGGTCTCTGATTGTCTAGTAACACCATGAAGGGCCCAGCCGAGCTGGCAGGGAGGAAGTAGAAGCTTTGTGTGTGTGTGTTGGGGGACAGGTACAGCCAAATAGGTGGCAGGTCTCTTTGGGGTTCAGGGGCTTGGATACCTATGGAGAGGTAGGAAATGGGGTTTGATCCATGGGGGCCCTGGTCACAGATAGCTATGCCAGTACCCCTGAGCCTGGCCCACATACCAGCAAGTTTGGGCAGGGAAACTCAGGCAGAAGCCCTGGTGGGTGGCCTGGACACCACCTGTGGATGGGGCAGTTGCAGTTGAGAGTGGCCCCAGCCAAGAGGGGCCAGGAATCACTCTGGACAGAGACCCCTTCCCAATCACCTTGAGGTCCTTGATGGAGGGGGGCCAAGCATCCCAAAAGGGGGTGGCCCCATATGGAAAAGGAAAGGCACATGGGAACACACCTTACTTGGGACAGTTCTGAAGCCTCAAGTTTCAGATGGGAGGCTGACTCCAGGCCAAGCTTTGCAGCCAGTAGAGGATGCCAGGTGAGTGTATTAGTGGAGCTACCATCCTCTGCTGGGCCTGAGACACCACAAGGACCCACATGGAGAGGATGGAGAGAAGCAGAATGCTTGTGCTGTTTAGGAAAGAAGAGGCAGGAGGACACTGGAGCCTCCTGGGAAACTGAAGGAGAAGAGAGAGAGCAAGATGCTTTGACCTTAGAGAAGAAGGAGAAATAGAGGGTGATGAGGCACCTGGAGTGAATGACTCCCTCTGGTGAGGCCCATTCCCAGGCCTGACTGGCACAAATGCCGGGTCGTGGAGGCGGTGTATGGAGGGACTGATGAGAAGACGGGAAGGCTTTGGAAGGGCCCACCTGGGAAGGTCACAGGGGCTGCTGACCTCTCCTTTCACATTTGGCAGCAACAGGGTGACTGTGGGTAGCTCTGTCCCACAGGGCAGGTGTCATGAGGCCCTGTCCCTCAACTTCCCAATAAAGAGAATGTGCCCCTTACAACAAAGAGCTGTGCACAAATAAGGGAACTAACAATCATTTTTTTAAAAACACAAATCATTTATGCTTTGTATACACAAATACTTAAATACTGTATTGCACCAGCACCCAGTCACGGCTCTGAGCCTGTGTCCTGAGCCCCCAGCCAGTTCCAGAGGGTAGCAGGCCATCCTACCATGTCCACTCAAAGAGCAGTAGCAAAGTGCAGATGGCTGTGGGCAGGGTCCCCTTGCTGGACAGCAGATGTAAGTGTTCCACTGCTCCTTGGTCCCCAGTGGCTGGTCAGTTCAGGCTACAGGACAGAGTTCCTCACAGTGGGTCTAATCACCAGTTCATGGTGAGCTGGATGCTATCAGAGCTCATCCTTGTGCCCTGAGTCACTGTTGGAGATAGACTCCTCTATAGGTTGTTGGGGACGGGGGCGGGGTGCTGCTGTACCTCCTCGGGCTGTTCCTGCAGGAAGTCCATCTTTTCTGGGCTGAAGAGCATCATCACCAGGTTGTCTGCCTGTACCCTGTCCACCTTGCTGTGCATGCACACTCTGCTCTGGGAGTGGTCAAGGTCAGAAAAGAGCACTTTCCCAGCTATCTCTTCTAAGGCTCTCTGACTGCCATCCTCAAATACTGCCTGGGATGGGAAGAGCTTTCATGGGCAGTGGGTGCTACGATAGATAGACCCTTCGAGAAGCTTCGAAGCAAGGAGGTGACTAGATGGCCACAGTGGGGAGAAATGCCCAGGCCCAAAACAGGAGTTGTACAGGATTTGAGACAAACTTCCATGGAAACCCTTGCTGCCTGGATTCAGGACTCCTGCCAGGTGGGAGGAAAGGGGAAGCAGCCTCTCCTCTTTCTGTCAGCCTTGAAGGCTTTGCCTGCAGCCCAACCTCCTTGCTGGGGTCTCCAGAACATCTGATGTGGTGGAAGGAGGCCCCTAGGACTCAGCCTATGGTGGGTGTTCGTGGGGGTTAGCCCTGGGCCTGTTGTACAACCGGCTTCCCAGGGAGGAGGTTGCAGGCAGCCAGGTTTCTTGCCTGGAATGGTCCGCTGCACACATTCTCTTTTGGCCCCCAAGGCAGCCCTGGCAGACGGTGTGATGAGAGCTAGGGGGGCATTCCTCACAACCTCCAGCCCAGGCTCATTGATTCTTGTGGACTCTGCTACTTTTCCCCAGCACCCTCGCTGAGGCCTCTCACATCTCCTACATCCTCCCTGGCCCTGCCCCATCCTGGTACCTTAGAAAAGGCTCTGATTCCCTGCCCCCACCTGCAATTCCTCAGGCTGCTGCATTCTCCCCAGTCCTTCCTCCCCCTCTCCTCAGGGTGACAGCTGCTGGTTTTAGGGCTCTCTGGGAAACTGGGGGAAGGACCAGCGGGCCTGACAGTCTGAGACCTCAGATGGTTGGGGTATTTCCTTTAAAAGGCTGACTGATTAAATAGTCCCAGCTTAGCACAGGGCCCACTGTTTCTGCAAGACACTTTCAAGCCACCGCTTGTTCACGTATCACATAAACATATATTTATTAAGCGCCCATTATGCCTTGAGGAGCTTCCAACCCAACAGGGAGGACAGACAACTGGGGGACATGGGGACAGTATGCTGCTCCTCGCTCCGAGGAGGGTAGCCATGCCGACTCCACAACCTGCATCTTGCACACATGGCAGGGCCCCCATGCCGAAGTGACTCTCGCCCGGCCTGCGCTTAAGCCAGGCCCGCTCTGTGGTTGTGATCAGCTCTGCACACCAAGAGAAATGCTGAGAAGCAACACAGTGGGCAAAAGGTGGTGAGAGATGGGAAGAGCCAATGGGGGAGAAGAGGGAAATGGCCTCGTAGCCCCCTTTGCCAGGGCCTGCCAAGAATTTGGGGAGGGGGCTTCAGTGATCCACTTGTTGCACTGTGTCCGCCCAGCCTGGGTGAGGTCTGGAGGGAAGAGGCTCCAGACTCGCCGCCACCACCCAGCAAACTGGGCCTTGCACCTGGGCTCAGGGTGTTCCTGGCTCCTGCTGTTGCCCTGCTGGACCCCCTCTTCACACCCCCACACCTGGCCCTCCCCCACCAACCAAGCGTGCCAGCAAAGGAAGGTGGTGCCCAGAAGTCCGAGGCCCGCGCCAAACTGGACCAGCGACTCGCCCTGGGCCAGGTGCAGGCATAGTCCGTTCAGGGAGGTGATGGCTGTGGTCTTGCGAGGGAGCCTGTAAGTAGCGCCACAGCGTAGGACGCTCGGAGGCCACGACGCTCATCCCCATCCCTCACCCCACATAGCCCATGGTTGAGAATAGCGCGCAGGACCCAGGTTTATTGGCGTGCTATGGACTGAGACTCCGGTGTCCTCATACCACCAACGTTGGCATACACTTGGGTGGATGTGGGTGCCCATGCAGTCCCCGTGAGCGTTCTTTCTGACTTGGGGCAGACGCTAATGTAGAGGGGATCTCTTTTTCCTGCTCCGGGGGGGTCTCTGTATTGGGGTCTACGCAGACATCCCCCTTATACTATCTGTAGCACCCCCTGCCCAAGAAGGTCCAGGTCCCCAGTGGTCCACAGGACACCACCAGTGCCCAGGACTGGCCCCAGGTATGTGGGTCTTTGGATGCCCATTTTGGGCCTGACTAGGGATCCAGGTGGACAACACCCCTGCCCTCATGGGACAAAGGTCCAGTAAGGAAGGTACACAATAAACCACGTGAACCAATGGATGAAATAATTCTGGTGGAAACTGCCATTTATGGGAACTGATTCTAGGGTGGCCAGTAACAGGGTGGTGGTTGGATCCATGATGAGGATTAAGGGTTCCTCATGATCTGAGCACCTGGGCAGCCCTGGGGGCACCATCAGTTCGGCCAGTTGCCCCTGAGGTTCCCCTCTCTTCCCCCTTCCCTGGTTCCTGTCCTGGAGTAGATAAAGCTGTTCCATTCCCTTGAGGCCACCTCACTGTAATGAAATTCCTGGTTTTTCCTTTTCTATTTTGTCATCAGGTCCCCTGCAGCCATTGTGACTCAGGACTCTATGTCCAAGTTTTCTAGCCTGCTGGATGATGGAGCCTTTTACAGTAGGTCCTCCTGCAGGGGACCTGGAGCCACCGAGGCTGGTTCAACATCACCCAGCTCACTACTTGTATCCGCTACACGTCACCTGGCTCTGAGTTACCTGTCTCTGGGGTCTGGGTGTTCCCTAGGGGAAGAGGCTGGCACTACTCCCTGTCTCACAGTCACTGTCCACGCGAAGGGTCAGTGCCCCAGCTCTGGGCATTGTGCTTGGTCTTTGTAGGCGTGCAGTGAAGGTTCATTTAAAGAATGCCACAGCCTCCCAGCCCTCACCAGGGACCAGCACTGTAAAGCATCTCGTATCTTCTCATTTATGTTCACCCTGGCCCCAGAGCGAATAACTGCACTGGGGACAGTGAAAACAACACTGGGAATTGAGGCTCGGAGTTCTTAAGAATCTTGCTGAAAGTCTCATAGCAGCAAACAAGTCACGGCATAAACTCTAATCTGTGACTGGTTTAAAACCAGAGGCCATGGCCTTCACTTCTACTTTCTTGCCTTCCAAAGCAATGATTCCCTGAACAGGGGAGGCAGGAACCCCAGAAAAGGTGATAGTGGAGGTGAGGGGTGTTCAGTAAAAGACCTGTTCCTTGGCGGTGGCTCAGTGTGGGGGACCCACACCGGCCACAGCAATGGCCCAGGAGGTGGTGAACATAGGTGCTAGGATAGACAGCTGTGGGCACACAGTGTCCACCTACTCTGATACATGCCTGTGGCTTTTGTGTTTTCCAATGAGCCCAGTACAGACTGAGGCACCTATGCTGGAGCCAATACATGAGGTGAGTCCCCAGTGCAGCCCACCCCGAGTGGCTTTACCCTTGCCCTACAATACAGAATGGATATGAGTGTTCTTGGTAAACATACTTGATACATTCTCAGCAAACAAAAACACAAATAAAACAAACACGCACAAAATCCGACCTTGGTGTTATGTAAGTATATATACTTCCTAAAGTAGCTTTAATGTCACACAAGCAGCTTTTAAGCCCAAAGTGAGAGAAAACAGATGTAGCTAAGAAAAGCCCCCCCAAGGGCCTCTGATTTCCTCAAGCCTGTGGAGGGCCCAGCCGAACCTTAAGCAGGTTTAGCAGCTGTGAGAAGGGACCTAATTCCTCAGGAAGAGCCAGGAGGCTGTTCCCGCCCCCTTGGAAATCTGGTTCCCCAGGGGAGTACAGGAATCTCAGTCCAGACCACTGCACAAGTAAAAATCCCCTCAATCCCTGTTCATTTAACTCTGACCAGAGAACGGGTGCTTTCCCCAACAGACCCAGAACCAGCTTGCCCTGCCACAGGAAGGTTTCAGTCAGCAGGTTCATCTTGAAGGACGGTGAGGAAACGTTGGCCTCCTTCACAGAGAAGGCTGTGCACAGCCCGACATAGTGCCAGCCAAGATGGTCCCAGTGGCTCCTGCATGCTCACCAAAGGGAGGAGTTCTGCCATCAGGACCTGGGATGAGATGCAGGGTCAAGGTTGCAGGGAGGCTTTGTCCCTGACAGCTAGCCCAGAGCCCCCATAGGGGATGGGGCAATTCCAGGGAGGCTTTGAGGCACCATATTCCAGCCCCTCCCTCCTCCAAAAGCCCTCAGCTCTCTCCAGTGCTGCCAAGTACACAGGCCCGGAGGCTCCCATCCTCCTGGGGGGTCCTGTGAGGAGGAGCACAGATAGGCTCTTGAGCCCTCACAAGACTCCAGACCGGGAATTTTCCCCATGGCGTAGGCTCTCCTGGCACCCAGTTGGCTACTCCCCACCTCCTACTCTGGGAGTACCTTTTCCAGGTGGATCTGCTGGTCCAACATGCCCACCCGAAGCCTGAGGGCCGCCAGGGTCTGCAGCTCCTGGGTGCTGGAGTAGAGAAGCAGCTGGGGGCTCCAGATGGGGTCTGCTCCTCTTCCACAGGGCAATGAGGCCCTGGGGAGTCTCCCTTCAGGCCATGGCCCCAGCTGCTGTCTGGCTACTGGGGTGAGAACAGGTGGATGTGGCCTTATGGTGTGACAGCCAGGCATGTCCTCCCCATTCTCCTCTAAGGCGTTGCAAAGTCTTCCTTTGCCTCCTGGATGAGGTCCTATTGTCCACAGCCACCTCTTGCGAGGCTAGGCCAGTTATTTGCCAGTGCCTCTGATTCTCACATGCTACTTTTTCAATAATTGGACAAATAAACAAACTACTTAAAGTGGTGGGGCTTTGTGTGTTGGGAGAGGGAATTGGGTGGGGGAGCTGCCCTGACTGGTCCCACAGGGCAACTGGGGAGAACTCAGAACACACTGGGGTGACATGGGAAAGAGCCCGTCTGACTCTGCCCCTAGCTTGCCGTTGAAGTCCCAGTGCTATCGGTGGCTAGAGGACCTTGACCCCTGACCAGACTTCAGCACAGGTTGGGGTGGGGTCTTACCTGCTTGTAGCTGCTGCAGCCTGTAGAGACATTGCCCAACAATGGCCTGAAGCCCCTCCAAGGTGAGCAGGCAGCGGTACTCCTGCATCCAGTCCATGGGGTCTATGAAAGAATCAGGGAAGGTAGGCTGGGTCCATGCTGGTCCTGTAGCTTTCCCTACCCCAAGGCCAGTATCAGAGTCTACTGACCTGTTGTGAGCTCCTCCCTCACTCGCAGCCTCAGCAGCAAGCAGGCATTCTGTAGGCGCCCCACTTCTGCCTCCACCTCTGCAGCACTGAGCCCAGAGCTGGGCCGACCTGACTGGGCACAGGTCAGGGAAACTATCTTGTGGTCAGGCTCCCCCTCCCCCAAAGATAGGGTCTGGGAGTGGCTCTGGCCCTTCTAGGAGTTGCTCCTCAAATTCACCAGGCGCAGAACAAGATATTCCCCAACCCTCGACCACCACAGCAAATCCAGCAAGGATACGGTCACCTGCATTTTCTGGAGGAACTGGGTTCTGGAGGACATAATAGCATCCATGGAATCACTGGTCTGTGTAGAGCTGAGCTGGGCCCACAGGCTGGAATGTACACATGGGCACCCCAGGAACCAGAGAGGGATCGTTATCCCAGCCAGCTGGGCTGGGCCTTGGGAAATAGGCAAGGGCCAGGGTAGGGGCCTCAAGGAACTAAGAGGACAGTCTAGAGAGGTGACCCACTCTGAAATACTAGTACAGAATTTGTAGTAGAGGAAGGAGAGAGGGCCTGGCAGTGACTCGTAGCTAGGACGACTGGTAAGAGCTCTCAGTGCTGGCTCTGTACCAGGTACAGTACATAACCTGAAAGGAACCACCTCAGTTAACATCTCTACAAAGCTAGTACTATTATCATCACCTGCACTTGGAAGACAAATTGGGACTCTAAGACACCAAGTGCATTGCTCAGTCTTGCAGCTTATAAGCAAGTAGCTGAGTTGGGGGCCTCAAAGCTCACTAAGTCAAAGGTTACTATGGGTGTCTGAGCTGAATATAATTTCTTAATATAGTGTCCCCACCTAGCAAAGAAAGCAGAGGAATCTGTTGGAAAAGTCTTACCAACATGGCCCCTTCCCTGTTCTCCACACTCCCCTGGGTTCCCCTTTGCCTCCACCCAGTTGCAAGTCTGAGCCTCACCGAGAGTTCTGAAAAGCCGCCTTCCTGAAGGCCATGGGTAGCCGCAGCAGGGTCCTGTCAGAGAAGCCGGTGCTCTGAGCAGCCTCGCCCCATCCCGGGGCTACAGATCCCACTCCCTGCCTAGAGCCCAGTCAAGGGTGAGGCTGATCACCCCCAGCCCCTTGAACAGGGCTTCCAGAGTGACTGTGGGGGTCAGCCCAGGCTAGGCCTGCCCTGGCAGAGAGAAGAGAGGGTACCTCAAGCAGAATCCATCTTGAGCCCCTGGATTGGGTGGACAAGAGAATAGGGTACTGGAGAACCAGGGAGGAAAGTGGGACAGGCCCTAGCTCATCAAGCGTGGCACATTCACAGCCAGCTGTTCCATTCTGCTAGCTTCAGGGCATGGGCCTCGTAGGCAGCACTCCAGAACCCACATCCACCTCCATGTCCTGCCTTCCCTATAACCCCAACTTCCAGACTCCAACTGCTGGCCAGGGTCTAATCATGTAGAGAACAGTTTCTCCAGGGAGGGTCTGGGAAACCTACCCCTTCTCTTTGAGTGTGAAAGCTTCTGGGGCCTGAGGAGCAGCCGATGGAGCTATTTGTTGGTCCCTGAGGCTTGGTCCAGGCTTGGCAGCTTGGGGCCCTCTCCTCATACAGGTCTGATATTCCGCTGACAGAAGCCCGGGCTTAGGGAGGCCCTTGGTAGGCATGGTGGTCTGGTGGGTGCCCCTGGGGGGTTTTGTTTTAGAAGCTCTGGGTGGGGCAGAGGCAGCAGGAGTGGCAGTAGACCCAGACTTCAGGCTGGAGGCCTTGTCTCTTCCTCTAGCCTTAGAAATGCCTTTTCGCACCTGTAGAGCCTTCTCCAGGGCCTGGGTCAGAAGCTCCAGCTCCTTGAGGTCTTGAGGGCTGGGTGTGTATGCTGTGCAAGCCAAGACATGTAGTGATCTTTCATCACTGACCCCCAGGAGTGCCCCTCACCACTGGATACCAGAAGACAGGCCACGGGCACCACCTGGAGGTGGGTGGTTTAGGTTTACCTGGAAATGGAGCCTTTTCATTAGTTTCTAGACCTGGGGTTGGCTCCGGAGACGGGGTCTCGTCTGGTTCCCTGCGAAGACACAGGGCAGCCGTGGCACGGCAAGGAGATAGAGTCTAGGACCAAAAGACCCCATGGGGCCGCCTGGTCTGGAAGCAAAACCCCAGCTCAGAGCCTGCAGGGAAAGGGGGGAGCGCCGACAATCGGCAACTTCGAAATGGGCAGTAGGCCTGGCTTCTCTGCCCGGGAACCATGAGAGGAGTTCTGAGGGCGCGAGTGAGGCCTAATTGATGGCCCAGCGTCCGCATACCAGGTCCGCAGCAGCCGCCGGGAGACCTGTAGGCTCTGCTCCAGCTGCCGCTGTTGCTCGGCACAGGCGTCCAGGGCGTCCCAAAGCTCGGCCACCAGCCTGGAAGGGACACATCGGCAACTCAGCTCCGGTGCCAGCCTTCCTCGGGCCGCGCTCTCTCCCGCCCCGCTCCCTCCGCGCCGCGGGCCCAACCGGCGAGAGCAGCCGGCCGGCAGCATGAAGAAAGCAGCCGCTCTTCAGGATTTGCCGCGGCCAGAAAGTCCCACCCCTTCCGTGCTATAAGACCGCCCGTTCCGGCTGGACTACCCTATCCCGATCCCAGAACTCAGGACCGCCCCCCCCGCACCCCAACCCGTTTAGATAAGCACTTAAGTCAGTGCAGGTGCTGCGTTTCGCTCCTTGAGCTATACTCCCCAGGCCTCAGGTAATGGACCTCGGGTGCCCCGCAGGCGTCTTGGTGTGGATAAGTGGGTAGATGGTGGCATCTGTGATCGCTTTACAGTTGACTTCTTCTTTGCCCTTATTGAAGTTACACTGAAGTGGGGCCGACGTGCCTTGCTGACCCCACTTAGCACAGAGACACGCGAAGGGGCACAATTGGTATTTACTGGCAACAGTTGCTAGAGGTGTGGATGAAGTGTGTGTTGGGAGCTGGGGTGAGGAAAGAGGGAGTCTTCATTTTTGGACATACTGGCAAGGTGATGACACCCAGAGGAGACCATCAGGTAGGCACCTGGACGGAGAGGGATGAAGCAAGATGGTCCAAAGCCGGGCAGGTGTGCATGGACAGGGACAGGTGAGGAATGCATAGGACAGCAGGGCCCAGTGTCAAAGCAATAGGACGCTGTACTAGGAGGATGTCTGAGGGATGGGGGATGAGGTCTTCAGTGACTAAGGGAGCACCTTATGTGGGAGGAGTAATGCAGGCAGCAAGGCCCAATGTAATTGGACATAGGAACAGAGATCTCGGGGTATCCCAAAAGACAAATCTTGGGAGGGGGGGGGTTTGTTTAAAGACGGTAAGCTGGCCATTTTATAGTCTCTAATAGGAAGGTGCTGCAGCATAAGAGAGAAAGACATGAAGGAGGGAAGTTGAGGGGGCAAGGCAGAGAGAAGGGAAGAGAGGTTATGACTCAGACAACCCTGGGACTGTTCTTAGGGTGGCCCCTCATCTGCACTGGCCCATTTTCCTGCCGAGTTGGGGAATGCTGATGTCTTTTCTGCCAAAAATGAGATTCTCTGTGAAGTAGGAGTGGAGGGGAAAATGGTTCTTCCATCAGTACTTAGAAGACCCTGTACCACCGTCATCGGGCACCAAGGTGATGGTTAGGACTTGAGATGCAGGTGGAGAGCACACCACAGTCAGGGGGTACCAAGGTGACAGCTGGAACATGGGGAGATGCAGGGTGACCCCACACAATGGTCACAGTGTTATGTTCCACTGGGGTGATTTTCTCCTACAGGTGTAGGCTGGGAGAAAGCAGAGAACTGGGTTCACCGACAGATGGAATTTTGGTAAGGGGCCATGGACAGGTGTCCCAAGATGACTTGGGTGACATTAGGAAGTGACAACAAGAAGGCAGTTTAGATATGCACATTAACTCAGCTTCCACTATCCTCATCACATTTAATCCTCACAACACCCCTGTGAGGTAGGTATTATTGCCCCATCTTACAAGTGAGGAAACTGAGGCTCACAGATGCCCAGGAGCACACAATAAACAGGTTTGCAATCCCAACACTGGTGGTCCCCTTAACCACACCCTACATGGTGTGCTCAGGATTCTCTTACAGTAGCAAAGACAGCTCCCTGAAGACACAGACACATACAGACACACATGCACGCATGCACACACCCAGAAAAGCCACCACTGAGTCAGCATCTCCACATCCTTGTAGTTCTGGTTTGAGCATTTGGGGGACACTCCTGGCCAAGTGGTTCTGACATTTTGAGAGGAAACAAAAGCTATTGGATCATAGTATCAGTAGTCTTCCCAACTTGAGAGAGGTCAGGGCCACTCGGGCATATCCCTCAGGTGTTTCGACTACTGCCCCCCCGGGGGGAGTCCTAGTCGCTTGCACAGTTAATCTCAGAAACTCACAGCAGACCTACCCTCACCCAACAGGCAGGTGTAAGTCCTCTGAATCTTGCTCTTCTGTGCCTGGGTCACCTCATATGTTACAAATGACTCCCCCCAGCCCATCCCAACCTCTGAAAATTCTTTTTGCTTTTTTGCATAAATAGTGTCAGGATAGCACTGAGGGATTTGAATCAAATTATCTTTTTTAGTTGATTCTAAATAATCTCTTATTTTAAAAATTTTAATAATTTCTATTTAAAATTTTTCTTTTGTTTTCATCTTAGAAGAATGAAGGATAGAAATACAGGAAAATGGACAAGAAATTCAGCACAAAAAGGGATGTTCATACAGACACTATCTGTTGGGGACACAGACAAATCATTCTGGGAGGAGGGACAGATTTCTAAAATGAGCTGGGAATATGAGATTGAGGGAGCCTATGACCAAGACACTGAGGCCCAGGCCTGCAAAAAGTGAAGGCCCTCACATCTGGTGATCCCATGTAGTCCCTGACAATACACAGGGTAGGACTCTCTCACCACGGGACCCTCTGCCCTATGAGGGAGTAGATGACCTCAGCAGGCTGAGGGGACAGTGTGCTTGGAGCCCTCAGCTTCCCTAGAACCCAAAACCAGATAGTTGCAGGAAGCAGGGAAGCTCTGCCAGGCTACCTCGATCATGTGTTCTCAGTTGGGAAAGTCCTCAGCTCCCAGGATGGGGGTTCAGTGGGGTTGGTTATCAGGCAACAGGCTTAAGTTTCCCAGAGAGAAAGAAGGACAGACAGGGGAGGAGACAGAAAAATAGGCTTCACATGGTGTATTGCTTTGAGGTTAAACTTTTCAAAGAGAAGAATGAATTTTTGTTCTGATTTTGGCATTCTGATGGCTCAAATGGGACTCCCCTGGTGAAAGACACTCAGTACCCCAAGTTCTCTCCATTGCCCATTGAAGCCACTGGGGGTCTACGTATCATCCATCTCCAGTGCCTCCATTCCTCGCTAGTGCAGCAGCAGCCCCATTTCTACAAACATTCATTGTGGCAAGCACTGACATACTCACAGCTTCATTCAGGAAGCCCAAGTTCATGTCCTGCTTTTCCTTGCTGGGGGTGGATAGATTTTTCCTTTTTACCTGTTGCTGGGGAACATTGCTCTCTGGGGAACTCAGGGGACGACACTGTAAACACGATTTCCTGGCATGATGGTGGCAAGGCTGTACATTTGAGTCACTGCTTGGGGACTTTGCTGAGGTAGGTTGGGACAGGCCACAGTCCACTGAGTTTGTAGGACTCACACTACTGATGGAGGAGTATCCTGAGGTTGTAATGTCCTTGCCCAGTTCTCTGCTGCTGCAGAGAGGGGGCTTGGGTCCTGGGACTGGAGGTGTCTGGGTGCTTGGCACCACGGCATGTAGGTCCTGGCATCCTTCATCCTCTAGGCAGGCCTCCTCATCGCTCGATTCCTGGCAGCAGTGCTGTTCTGGGTTGAGGTACACCACGGTGACATCAAGGATGCCGCTGGGAGCTGTCACTATGGGAGAAGTAAGGCCACAGACTGAGCATTGGGATAACCCTGTCCGGTTGGGACCTCAGTGGCCCAGGCTCCAGTTCTCACCCAGCTCTCTCAGCTACATATCCTAGACCTTGCTAGAGAGTCTCCTGTACTGATCTCCTTTGGGCTAAATGCCTCCTTCAAGCTTGGGGTGGTACCTAACCAGACTTAGGGAACAGTAGGAAGTGACAACAAACTGGTCATCTAATTTACTTAATCCCCTGAATGGACACAAAAGCAAGCAGTTGGAAAAAATGACAGAAACTGCTTGAATTGGGCTTTCTGGGACAGTGTCTTGCAGTCTCCTTTGGAGGAGTGTGTGAGGCACAGAGCCTAACAGGGCAGTGGGGGGCACATCTTGCACAATCTTCTAGAAAGATCTTATTGTAAATTCCAGACAGGGTTTCTTCCTCTTCCCCTGCCCTGGAGAGGCTCTTCCACCAACACAGGCCTGGCTGGTGCCTGACACACTTTTGGCCTAAATCCTCGCCCTCCTACTCCGCCACCTGCTGTGGTGTCCTAGGGCTTCTGCTCTCTCACTTCTAACTATGCCTGGACATGTTCTCCTGCAGGTAATGCTAGGGGCCCTCAACGAGCGCTATCCTTTTGCCTACAGCCTCCTTTGGCGTAGCCTCTGGGTGGCTTTATGGCCACAGAACTCACCATCGCCTTCCTTCTCGCCCTCGCTCTCCTGGTCACCCTCGTAGCCGGAGCAGTAGTCCAGGTTCCAGTCCAGGAAGCTGCCTAGTAGTGTCTCCTCCTGGCTGGACAGCTCTGCAGTAGGTGTGGTAACGAAGCTGCCCCTGTCCTCCTGGAGGCTGTTCTCCCGCTTCCTACAAGGTGGGGGAGCCAGGCACCCAGGCATAGGCAGCACTGTTAGACACCTTGACACCTGCCCACCCTGCTCCAGTGTGCTGTGATAGAGATGACACAGCCACCCAGTGCCTGCCCTTGGAGTCCCAGAGGCAAGGCACAGTGAGAGACCTGGCTCATCTGGACTTTGCAGGGTCAAAAGGGTTCTTCAGGTAGCTAAGGTGGGGAAGGGAAGTTATTCCAGGCGGGACAGCCAGGACATTGAGATGGGAGAGACAGAAGTAAATGGGATACATGCTGGAAATTAGGGTGGAGATGAGGGTGAGCAAGGGAGGATCTGAGGACACTAATCATGTATAGCTGGAGTGCACAGAATGCCATCAACACCATGGAGTAGAGGACCCAGGGTAAAATGACGGGTCATGGCAGGGCCAGACCTTGAGTTGGGCTCAACCTGTGCTCAAGCCCATTTTCCCTCAGAGGGTTCCAGCCAAAGCAAGAGAGAGCATGTGGGAGGAAGGAGGACAGTGCTGCTGACAGTGCAGCTCAGGCCCAGGGGCCCAAGGCATAGATTCAACTCAGCTTTTTTTTTTTTTTTTTTTTTTTTTTTTTAATGGGATCTGCTCCTTCTTCCTATAATGCCTTAGGAGCCCCTTGTGTAAAATAACAGAGCCCCTCAAGAAGTTGCAGGGGTCACGAGGGATCCCACGCCCAGCACGTGGGAGTCAACACTGTATCCCACCCTTATAGACACCGGGCTTACTAACCTCTTAGTTCTCCTTGCAGAGGGAGAGCTAAGGAAGGAGTGAATATCCCCTGAGCTGAGGAAAGATGCGGGTTCTGGGCTCTCCTGTTTCACTCCCAGAGCTGCACACACCTGGCTGTAGCTCAGCACCTGAAAGAAAGCCAGGTCAGAGGGAGGGAAGAAGCCCCAACGGGCAGGCAGAGAACTGTCCTCACCCAGAACAGGAGACAGGGGAGAAGGGTGGCACCTCTTCCTGGCTGATCTCTTCGTAGCGCTTGTCCTCAAACCTCTGTTTCACTGCGGTCAGAGAGACTTGTCTATAATCTTTGGGGACATCATCATGGAAGCTGCAAACAGAGGGACACATGAGGGATAGTCTCGGGGCAGAAGGGGTTCTGGGGCAGGCATTACCAGCATCACCACTCCAAGAGACTCCTATTTTTAGCTTCCCTCACCGAAATGAGAGGGGACCACATATTTTCCAAAACAGCCTAGTGATGGGAGGTAAAACAGGGTGCTGCTGTGGAAAAGTCTAATAGTTCCTAACAGAGTTAAACCTAGAGTCCCCTATGACCCAGCAATTCCAATCCTAGGTGTAGTCCCAAGAGAAACGTGAACACAACATTCAGACAGAAACTTGTCCACAATGTTCATAGCAGCATGATTCATTAATAGCTAAAAGACGAGAACAACCCAAATGTCCACCGGTGCACAGATGATAAACACAATGTGGTCCATCCATGTAGCAGAATATTATTACAGTGGAAAACATGAGGGTGAAAGAGACCAGCCACAAAAGGCCACATATTGTATGATTCCATTTCTATGAAATGTCCAGAACAGGCAAATCCATAAAGACTGAAAATGGATGAGTGTTTGTCTAGGGCTGGAATGGAAGGGGAAAATATGGAGTGATATAGGTAAGGAGTACAGGGTTTTTCTTTTGAGGGTGGTAAAAATACTCTAAAATTGACTGGCGATGGCCACAAAACTCTGAATATACTAAGAGCCTGTTTAATTGTACATATAGAAAAAAGTTCAGTTTGTAAATAAATGGTTCCAATTTATCTGGTTTGTAAAAAAAACTCTGGGAGGTAGGAGGACAACCTAGTAAGAACTTTTGGTAAACAGGTAATGACTACTTGTACTCCTTGTATAAGCAACCACGGGTCAGACACATGCTGACCTATCACCTGCACTCCTAGTCTATCAGTTTCAAGGTTTGGGCACCATAGGAGAAAACGAGGTGGGCTGAATCCCACAACCCCTAGGAAATGGTGACAGGTCCCCCCAAGGCTGGAGTTCAGGAAGGAGTGGGGAGAAGCAGCAAGTGGGCCAGAGCAGAGGCTGGTCAAAAGGATGTGGAGCCATGTTGGAGTTTTCTGATCTCATCCCAGAAGGCGTAAGCAGAAGCAACATGCTCAGAGGCTTCCACTGCAGTAATCCAGGAGGTGGCTAGGAGAGTGACCACAGGCAGACTGGAGACTGAGGGGTTCAGATCCCTAGATGTACAAAGAAAGTACACTGGCCTTCAGACCCCCTGGGATGCAGGAAGAGAAAACCAGAAATGGGCTGGCCTGAGGTCTCTTCTAGGACCACTGGGGCACCACAGAGCACCAAATGCAATCTATGAGGAGGAACAGCCCCAGGAAAAGAGGGGTTCTGGCGTGGATAAGCTGGCAGGGGAGTCTGGAGCTTTGGGTTTAGATGTGTTCTGAATCCTGGAAGTGGTTACACCTTCCAGGGACATTTGAGGATAAGCAGAAAGCTGGAATTAGCCAGAATCTCTGCAGGGGGAAGGGGACACTGAGGCAGCATTGCCTGGTGGAGGAAGGAGGCAGGTCACTGAGGGCAGGGGCTTTAGTAGATATGCATGTGGTGGGAAGGGAGTGGGGATGAGAGTGAGTGGGCCAAAGAATGGGAGGGAGGAAAGAGTAGAAGCTAAGCTAAGCTGAGCTGAGCTGGGCAGCACCTGGGTATGTGCCTGGGGGCCGGTTTGCCAGTTCCTGAGCTAGATCATGTGTCGTACACTGAAAGTCCTATCCCTCAGGGAGATGGTCTTGTTTTTTCTATTATGTTCTGCTGCCTGCGCAGTTCGGCTTAGGTTGGGAAGAGCTACTACACACACATTTAATGTTAAAATTGAGTGAAATAAGCAACATGGTTTTGGAATGTTTACATGTCAACTCTGAGCAATGCAACTCACTGCAGGAAAGGCCTGTGTGGATTGATGGCCACCCTATGGGAGCCCCCTCCCTTTCCCCATACTTGAGGACACAGCCCCTATGGCAGGATGAGAGAATCGATTTCCTTTCAGACTCACCACTTTTGGTGAAGGCTCAAGACACAAGGTATGAGGTCTTCACAGGAGAACCCAGTGAGGTCCCACAGCCGAGTGGTCCAGGGCTGTGCTGGGGAGAAAAAAAAGAAAAGCAGGAATGGTGGGGCTGTTATGACACCCACTCACACCTACAGCCCTGATGGTTCTGCTGGGCATTTCCTGGAGCTCAGGGTTGCAAAGACCCCCACATATAGGGCATGCCTGCTCACTGTCAACAGTGAGGAAAATAGTACTTAAGCTAGAACCATCCTTGATTTTACCCCAGAGAATGGCTTTTAGTGCATTCTGGTGTTTCATTCTCTAGGAGAGGTGGGCCTGCTTCTTTTTCTCCCCCCTCCCCACTTTTATCTGAACATTGTTCCCTAATTCCAGGAATTGCTCAGGCCCTTGGCTCAGCCTGTGCTGAGCGGCTGGCCTGAAAAGGAAGGCTCCTTACTCTGCCCGTGTGTCAGCCTTGCCAGCAGCAGGGAGGCTGCGGCCAGGTGGGCTGGGGAGTAGGCAGCCAGGCTGGTGTGCAGCAGAGAGAGCTCGCAGAGGAAGCTGCACAGGTGCTGGGTTCTTGGTGCCACAGGGATCAGAGTCAGCAGGATGTCCTTGTAATCGACCACAGTGGGGACCTAGACAAAACCAGGAGGTGGATGTGGGGGGGTCTCAGTACACAGAGAGCTCATCTACCCACTCAACACAGCACAGGGTCCGGCATGACTGATGTCCAGGCTGGATGCCAGGGCACTCAATAACAAGATGGCTTCTGGGTCCAGGAGGACTTCTTAGAGAAGGAAAGCTCAACACTATGAAGTTGCCCTTGGATCCTGTCGCCCCCTCATGTGACCTCCGCTTTGATTTACAGGAAAAAGCAAAAGCCACTTACTCGAATCTTCCCGTCCAGGGCAGAAATGATCTCTCCCATCATCCTCACCAGGTCCTCATACTTGTACGTGTTGTCTGTGAGCCACACGGCTTCCCGGATTGTCAAAATCTCTTTGCTGATGAACCTGGAATATCGAGAAGAAGTCTGAGAGTTGAGCCCAGTTTCCTCAGTGGGGCAACTGTCACTTTAGGCTTCAGTGACAGAGGGTGGGAGGTGTTGAAGAGTGAACCTGGATGCCTGTGGCTGCAGAAAGGAATGGAAAAGGTCACATAACCCTGTCATAAGGGCTGGAAAGGAGGAGGAATTAGTGATATGGACCAGTGGGAGTGACTGGATTGCCTGGCACACAGATGTTTCTAAAAAAGGCACCCATGAATGACATGACTGGTCAATCTTCTTAGTGACTGAGGTAAGGGGGTTTGCCCTGCTTTGTGACAGATTCTGCAGTGAGTATAAATGGCTTAAATCCAGGAGGGAGTGAGCCAGCAGAACTGAGCTGGAGGTTGTTTGAAGGTCTAAACACAGCACAGAGTCTGGCCACCGGAATTTTGATTGTCCTTTGGGCAGGTGGTCACCCTGTTCTCTACTCTCCATCAGAGCCAACTATCGGTGAACAAGCTGGTCCAGTGGCCTGCTAAGGGTGCCTTCCTTTGTGAGGATGTACCAGGGTTAAGCCTGTGACCATTCTGTCGTAAGTACTCTGCAGCTCCCACATTTGCTGTTGGCTTGACTAAGAAAAAGAGGCGGCATGGGGGCCCAGATGCTGAAAAGATGAGAAGCAGGTGGGGCTGATAAGAGCTCTGTGTTTGGTGCCATCGAAAGTGCTGCCTTGAGAACAGAGGTGGGGGTATCTCAACCTCTAAAAATTTTTACAGCAATTATCGTCTCACTGCTAGTCAGTCTGTGGTCCAGTAGCTTGGTCTCTGGTGGCAAAGACATAATTACGCCACCTAGATCCAGGAAGCAGGGGCCCCATCTGTTCAGCCATCTCTGGTGAGGAGACCTGAAATGGTGAGGGGCCCAGAGAGTGTGTGGCAGTCTTCCTGCTGACACTGAGCCCATGCTCCCTCCACCCAGGGTCCTACTACCCTGCTTCCATGACTACCCAAAGAGATCTTGCTGTCTAGGTCCACGTGGCCATGTGACTGAGTGTGCTGCAAAGGTAGACATGGTGACCTTAGGGATCATGAGGGGGGTGGTGACAGACAGTAAGACAAAAATGGGTCTCCTCTGTGACCTCATGAAACAGAAAATCCATCCCAGTGACATGATGAGCCTGGACCCTCCGCCTTTGGATTACTGTGCAAAATAGATCAATCTCTTTTTAGTTCACAATACTGCACGCAATAAGCCTGTTCCTTGTTCCCTGAAGCCTTGAAGATGAGGCTGACTGGTCTGGAAAACATTGCCCAGAGGAAACGGCAGACCATCTGGTTTAGGAAAACTGGAGTGCAAAATGTATGGTGAGAATCATCATCCATATTTCTACTAAAGGCAAAACTGGGCGGATAGGTATGTGTTAAAGGATGGCAGATTTAGGGAAACGTAAGATGGTATAGCTTGAAAAGTCAGAGCTGCCAGGGGTTCAGGCTGCTGTGTGACGAGGATGTGCTCTGTCTGTGTGGTTGGAATGGGGTCTGCAGGGAGCTGGGTGGGAGATGTGAGACTAACTGTAGGTTTCTGATGACACATACTTGAGAAACACATTCTTGGGAACCTGACTGCCGACACGCAGTCTTTCTGCGATCTTGGCTGGAGGACTATGATCTACTCTCCTTGCTGAGTCACCCTCAGGGGCCAGGGCAAGAGGGGTCTAGTCTGAGCCTGCCCAAGCAAGGCCACACTCCGGGTCCTGAGACTATGTCCTGGGACAAGTGGCTGCCCATACACCAAGGACCAGCACTCCCTAAAATTAAAACCCCCTTCTAACAAGGTGGGACACTGAAGGTTCATTTCACTGAAAAGACAGCCTATGAACTAGGGCAGGGCCAATGTGTTAAGCGCCATCCTATAGGCATGAGTACAGCCATGGGGGGCGGGCTTCTTACCGGGTACAGATGACCATGCAGGCAATACCCAGCAGCTGGAGCCTGTACCGGGGAACCAGCCTTCTCCGTAGGTACCGGTCCACACACTCCACAGTCAGGTGAAGGCAAAGGCTTGTGAAGTCCTTCATGGTGGCGACTTCTACCAACCAGTCGATTAGAATGTACCTTTGGGAAGAGCACCACCCCCGAACACTGGAGTGAGCATTCACAAGTGTCTCGTCTCCCATTCCAGATGGCCTGTCTGTCCCAAGGGAGTGAATCGCTCATCTGCACCACTGGTTTACCCAGGAACCGCCCCAGGCTGAGATGTCATATTCAAAGGAGCTGCGGAGCCACATCTCCCGACTCTGTATGTGAGAGGCAGGTGGGCCCACATATCTGTGTCCCATCTCCCCCCCCAGAGAACTCTGCAGGCACTAGAAAGCCCTGGCATTCACAGGTAAGGGGCGAAGTAGGGGTGGGGACAGATCACAAACTCCAGGGCCAGAGGAAAGACACTCAAAAGTGTGAGAACTTTGGCATTCTTGCAGCTCACCTGTGGGATCATTTAATAACACCTTTTGCATTGGACCAAAGAACCAAGAACACAAGTCCTGACAGAGCCAACATACATGGGGTCCTTCCTAGAGAGGGCTAAAACCTGCGGCCAGGGACACAGGCATTGCAAGGGAATGCTACGTGCAATGGCAAGGATACCAGAGTATGGTAAATGCCTTTTTAAACAAAGGAGAGGGGATGCAGAGAATAAAAGCAAGAGACAAAAATTGTGATACTGCAGGGTTCTGCAGATAGGGTGCAGAGGGTAGGGTGGGGGAGCTGGGATGCTAGTATCAGCCCAGACAGAAGCATCTCTTATATGTGGAGGGGAGAAGGGAAAGATGGGGTCAGAATGGTGGACTGGAAGGAGGAGAGAAGCAAAGGAGGTGGAATGGAAGGGGGAAAGGATGGAGGAGGAAGACAAGCCTCTCTTTTTTCCCCAGAAGGAAAGACAGCAAGAGTGTCAGGTGTTTGAAATTGAAACCAGCCACTACTGGAACGGGAGAGGACGCTTCCCTATACAAAAAGACTTAATAACTTAATGGTCTGACTTTTAAAAACAGACCAACCAAAGTATATACTTTAAAATGGTTAAATCTGAAACTAATATCCCGTTACATATCAATTACACCTCAGTAAAAAAAAAAAAAAAAAAAAAAAAAAAAAGTTGGTGGTTGCCTGGCACAGAGGAAAATGGGAAAACGCTCAACTCAAGGGCTGAAATTGATAGTAATATTTCAATAAAATTATTTTAGTTCTTAAAAATGAAAAAAACTGAAATCCGTTATACTCTAACGCCCCAAAATAGCAACAGTAAAAAAAAAAAGGGGGGGCAGACTGAGAGAGGCACAAAATGTTATCAGTATATTTCTTCCAACAGAAAAAGAGCTGAGAGGAGTGCAGAGCGGGGCTGCCGCCACCACCGCAGGATTCAAAAATACAGCAGCTTTGCGATGCTTAATGTGGGATCAAAGGATGATGCATCCTACACTGTGTGTGAGAGATATCAAGCCTCTAAAGGAAAAGCTAGATTCTTTTAAAAATAAATGTTTACTGAGAACTTATTATGTGTTAGGCACTGCCTGCTGGAGCCAGAGCCTGCCCATTATAAATCCAAATGTATCTGAAATCTCTTGCATAAGCTTAATTATTCACATTTTCCATTTTACTAACATATCCTGGGATTGAGTATATGCGTGTGTTATCTCTAAACCTTGGAGGAAAATGGATCTGCAGGAAGAGGTAGATAGTGCTGGGGTTTCAGGCTGCTGGGTACACTGCAGCTGCCCCAGAGGGCACAGCTCCCTGGGTCAGGCTGGCTCGGATGGCCATGGGGTACCACACACCAAGCTGATGCTCGTTAATGATGGCTTGTAAAGAAAATGTGATTTTTTGGCTTCAGAAATTGGGGATGTGAATCCCACCATTTTAGAAAAGAGGCTTAAAATTGTTTAACTTGTCCTGAGGCTTAAAAAGGGAAGTTGGAGAGAGCAGGCACTTTATGAAGGGCATTTTCTCTCCAAAGCCCTGGATAACTTAGGCACTACTGGGTTTAGCGCGCGCACGCACGCACACACACGCACGTGGTGATCCTAGCAGCATTGACAACACAGAGTGCTATGTGGCAGATGGCTTAGGTGAAATAGAAGTGACAGCTCCCTTTGCCCCAGAGACCAGTGGTTGCTCTCTCTTCCAATCAGCAGCCCTGGCTTGAACCCCTCACCTCATTGTGTCGTTGAGTCCCTTCTGCACAGAAAAAACCTCCTGCTTATTAATAGGGCGGGAGGCCTGAAACAGCTGGCAGACTATTTCATTGGATGCTTTTGCTTCTAGTCCAAGCTGGTTTCCATTTGCACAGGCTTTGGCTAAAGACAGCTGAGAAGGAAAAACATGCAGAATGAGCACAAAGCAGTGGCTTTTGAGGTTTTCCATTTCCTAATGTGAAGGTCTGTTGAGGGAGAATATACTTGTATACACATTTGCCCTCCTTATGCCTTCTAAGCCTTCTGGATACATTATGGCTAAGGTTTTAATTATTCTTTCTGAAATAACACAGTACATGGTAGAGAATTTAAAAAAGGATAAAAGGTAATAATGGAATGTCAGATCCCCTCCTATCCTGGTACAGCTCCTGGGCCACTAAGTCTTTGGCAACTTTTTAAAAAACTAAGTTTGTTTCTGTTCAACTCCCAAATGCAGGGGTGTGGTTTGCATGCCCTGGTTACTTCACAGGACAACTCCCAGTCGTGAAAACTTGATGCTCCAGTCGGAAGCTGAATAATGAAGTGGCAAAAAGCACGCTGGGGGCTCAGATTACCTACTTTTAAAATCTGGGTTTGTGATGTGGCCACTGGCAAACTGGGGGAACTGTTCTGTGACTTACTTTCCCTTTCCATAAAGTGGCATCCAGCACCTACTTTGGCGGCTGGATGTGAGGATTAACTGAGCTTTGCACAGGACACACCCAGCACCCACTAAGCTCTGAAATGGTTACTATCAACCATTTCTATGTATTTCCTTTTAGATTTTTCTATGCATTTGTAACTGTGTATATTTATTTGTGATCACAGTATATATACATCTAATCTATTCATTGCTCACCTAACAATGACCTGGTTCCTCAGGAAATGAAATATCTATAAGCATGTTTCCTTTGTTCTTCCTTTTGAGTTATTTTTGATGTATTTTATTATTTTGTGGAACATCTTTGTGCAGCCTTTTCAGTTCCTGTGCCTGTCTGCTCATGTAGTGAGTCCACAGGAATGGCTCTGCTAAGCATTTTGCCACGTGTGCCCAAGTACTTTCTGAAAGGCAAGCCCCAGTGTTTACACTAATAACATTATTTTATTACATTTTTGCCAGCAAAAATTATTTAAAAATGGGTATTTCCTGAAGTTATTTTCTAACCAAAAACACACGAGAATATATATACATATGCATGCATATAATTTGCTAATGTGATCAACTGTGATCTCATTGAAACACATGCCCTTCTGGCCAGCAGAGACTGGAATGCTGCTGCTGTGTTTCGGCTAGTGTGTTTATTTCCTCTTCTCTCAGAGGGCACTGAGGCCCTGTGGACTTTATTAGGGTCTTACTATTCTTATTGATGAGTTTGAGCTTTAACTAGAACCACATCATCGATTGTCATATATCTTGTAAATATGCTGCCTTTTTGGACATAAACATGACAATGTTCTGTGACTTGTCAGGCTGGGCCACCTACTGCTTTGTGATTTCTTTCCTAGCTTTGAGGACAGATGATGCTCAACCATCCACTTGTTTGGTTGAGCTTCTACCTGCTTGGCTTTGTCTTGAAACCACAATCTTACAGCTAAAAAGAGAGAGTACTTAAAGAACACCAACTACAAATCCCTGAGGTCCTAGTTCTGACACTGGATGACATGGTGAGCAGGTCAAATAATGAGAACAGGACCACATTCTACATGCCCACCTGCTCTAAGGAGCCTCAAGTTCTGTTGCTGAGGTAGGCTTTACCCAACAAGACAATGGTAGGGACCAGTATAAATTTTGATAGCAGATGCAGTCCACAATCATTTAGAAACTAAGAGGCTGGCTTAAGGACAATGAGCTTTGAAATGATAGGGTGGTAATGGGCAGAGACGAAGGAAGCACTGCTAGGCTCTCCTCCCATACACCCCAGAGCTAAATTCTTTAAGACCCAGCTCAGTCCTGGGCCAATCGTATTGTTTCCAGAGAGCCCGGTAAGTGTAGTGCCAGCTCCCGTCTCACCTGGGCTTCCCAGCAGCCTTTGGCAGCATAGTCCCTGAGTTTCCGGAAGTTGTGGAGGCATCGCCCGGGATCAGACATCTGTCAATAGGAGAAAGTCACCATGACTTTATATGGTTGTGTCTCTGGAAAACGGAGAACCCATTGGGTCCTTAAATGTTCCTCCAACACCCCCAGATGGGTCCGAGCTGCACTTTCTTCCTTGTCCTTTATCCTCCAAATGATGGTGGTCACTTTGGGGCAGTGCTGAGAATGGCCTGCTGTGCAGCAGTTCCCAGGGGCCTAGGAGTGGTATGAGGATCCTTCCTGTGTAACAACTTCATCCAAGGATCAGTTTGGAGACTAGGCCTTTTTGGCCAACGTCATTCCTCCTCTCCCCAGCCCTCAGTCCACTCACCTCTATTAGTCTGTCGTTTTCCCAGAGGAGGTATGAGCTGGTTAAACATCCCTGATTAGCAGACTCTTCAAACAGGTCACGGGCCTGCTTCTTTTTCTCTTCATCCTGGAAGGAGTCCAAGCACAGTTTACTCTTTTCTTATTCTCTTTCTGCTAAACAATTCTACTAACCATCTTTGTCTTTCTCCAAACCTCTAAGGGATCGCATGCATCCCTCTATAATAAAAATGAGCTAATTAAATCGGAGTAGAAATGACTTCTTTAAACATACCCAATTTGACAACCAACATGGAAAGTGAATTCATTCACAAGTTCTGCCCTCACAGGCTCTGCTTTTTCCTTGACCATGTTTGTATTTGGCTTGGCCCTAGGCCATCCAGAGGTCCAGCCCTCCACACTGAACTACCCAGATGGTGATTTCGGGACTCCTCCATCTCCTCCCTCATACTCAGTGTTCCTCCCTGCTACTGTCAAAGAACACTGTCAACAGAAGCCACCACCTTCCCTGAGTTTGCTGCAGAGGAGATTCCTTGATCACAAAGCTCATTGAAGCTTTCTCAAGTGTAGAGAGGTTTGAATGACGAGTGGGAGAGAGTTGCTAATAACAACCATGAAACAAATAAGCCCCTGGTCTGGTGCACACTTGGATGTTCTGCCTGGCTCCACACGGCCTCTCACAGTCAAGACTCACTTTGGCTTTGAACCCTGGACACTCCCTTTTGCTGCTTTTCACTTACTTTCTCATCCTTGGTGTTTGTGGCTGCCAGAAAGGTGAGCAGCACAGAAATGTGAAGCTGCTGTAGTGGGATGGATAAAACTCACCTCAAAGAGACTCAGCACTCTTCCCAGGCAGTGCAGTATGGAGGCTTTGTGAGTCTAAGAGGAGGAGGAGAAAGAAGTGTGATCATCAGTAGTGAGAACATCCAGGGAGCCGCCCCTCCCAGCCATTTTGTGGGTCCCATGGCCTCTGACCATCCCTCTTTGCAGGACTGTTTCACAGAGCCTCTGTTTTGCCTTTCCAGCTCTCAGTGTGTCTGTAGTCCAGGCCCTCATCAGATTTCCCTGACCCCCAGCTCTGAGACCTCCTCTCTTGCTGGGTCATTTCCAAACACTCCCACACCCATGCTCTTGATTTTCCGCACCTCCACCTCCTTCAGGTTCCTGACTTTATATGGTCCACAGTGTTTTTTCTCAAGGTTGGCTCACCTCTCAGCATCCTATGGGGCTGGAATTGCCCAGCACAGGATGCCCTATGTGTGCCCCTCGCCAGCACTCACTCTTTGTAGCTGGCACTCCGCCTTGAGGCTCTCATGAACCACAGCTTTGCAGCAACTTCCAGACACTGACCATGGAGGGCGGATAAAGAGCCAGATGAAAGGCGTACCACTGACATTTAGTCGTTCCGCGAGGCTGAAGTAGCGAGAGGCTTTCAGTCCATTTACTTCTGCACGGGCCTCATCAGACACAGACACTGTAGAAGCAGACACAATGTAACTCAGAGATGTCTCAAGAACAAATGTGGAAAGTTCTCCATGGTCTTTTGTGAAACTCTAAAACTTTAAGCCTGCTGCAGTGCAAAGGTGCTGGTATTTTAAGAGAAAAGAGCCTTCAAGACAAGGGGCTCCTCCCTTTTCTTCCCCTACTTTGTGAATCGTGTTCCCCTACCTGAGTCGAGCCAGCAGCCTGGATTTTGAAGGCTGGGAAGATGTTCCCTGTGGAGATGTCATATGCCTACCCTCCCTCTTGCTGAGAACTGCTGGCAACATCCCCCACCCCTCCCCACTAACAAGTTTCTTTGTTGGGTAATGAGAATTTCCCAAATTAGATAGTGGTGATGGCTGCACAACTCTGTGACTATACTAAAAAACCACTGGATTATATACATTAGATGGGTGAGGATATGTGAATTATGTCTGGGAAGTGCTATCTGACGAGACAGTTGGGGCAAGGCTGCCACTCTCCTGAGCCTGGAGGAAGAATGCTCAGTGTCTCTATCAGTCATAACAGTCTTGTCAACCAACCACGTGAGGGGCTATCTTACAAGTTGCCAGCTTTTTTAGAAGCAGAAAAATGGCTGCTATACCCAAGTCTTTATCTGTTTTGGGAACCAGGACCAGATAGACTCCAGGCTAGTTCCTTGATGTGCTAAGCAAACAGGCAGGAATTGGGAGAAGGCCATATAAGATTCTTTCAAGGATCACCTGACCTGTGGGAGGTGAAGAAATTCAGGCAACATGCTGCCTTTGGCCTGCTTTTACCTGCCTCCTGCGTTATTGATACCCTATGGAATTAGGCACATTTTGACCACTGCCCCAGAGTTCCACAGAGGAAGTGTTGCTGAGGAGAGGAGCAAGAGTCTACACATGGATTGTGGTGTTAACTGGACAGAGGGTGGGCAGCCAGGGGGAGGCTGGCTGAGCCCCCATTCTGAGTCTTTGCTTAGTCATTCTTTGCTGACAAAATTAAAATTAAAGGATTTATCAGAATAAGAGGTGACTCTCTCAACCTACAAAATCAAAGTTCCTCAGTGGGTCCCTCAGCAGGGTACCTCTTGGCATAAGTACCCTGGAGGAGACAATAAGGCAGACCACCAGACATAGCAAGAGCCACTAAACACTGAGAAGGGTTCACTGTTGTTCCAAAACATCAATACTAAGTGGGTGACACCAGCTCCAGCCCTACAAGAACTTACAGCCTTCATTGTAGAGGTAGGCAATGCCCAGCTTCACAGCAGCTTCAAAATTTCCCTTTTCAGCAGCCCTAGAACATTAAGAACATAAAATACCGTATGATTTTATTCCATAAATGTTATGTTCCATCACAGCAATTGAAGCTTGAAAACATGCTAAGTGAAAGAAGCCAGTCACAAAAGGCCTTATATAAAAATCCAGAGACAGGAAGCGGATTAGTAGTTGCCTAGAATTTGGGTGAATACAGGTAAAATAGGAAGTGACTGCTAATGGGTACGAGGTTTCATTTTGGAACGAGAATGTTCTAGATAGTGTTGATGGTTGCGTGAGTATGAACATATTAAAAACCATCAAGCTGCACATTTTAAAAGGGTAAATTATATAATTTGTGGGTTACATCTCAGGTGGCCTGTCTGAAACCACTGGCACACTTAGTGGGTCTAGTCACTGGCACACTGGGGTTCACTGGTCACAGGGTTCATGTTGCCTTTGGCCCTCCCTCTGGGTCCCAACGCTGGCAGGGGGTGGGATCAGCCATTGAATAAAATGCAATAGGGTTTAAATCACATGGTTTTAAAAGATTTTATTTATTTTTAGAAAGACGGGAAGTGAGGGATAAAGAGAGGGAGAGAAACATCGATGTGTAAGAGAAACATCAATTGGTTGCCTCTCGCATGCTCCCAACCAGAGACCTGGCCTGCAACCCAGGCATGTGCCCTGACCAGGAAACGAACTAGAGACCATTCGCCTTGCAGGACAACATGTAACCCACTGAGCCACACCAGTCAGGGCTAAATCACATGGTTCTGACCCAAAGAAAAGAGGGCTGAATATAGTTTCCACACATAGGTGACTAGGGCTTGAGTCACAAGGGATAGGTCAGAGCCCGAGAAGGACTCTTCAGAAGCACCACCATGACTAACGAGAGTCAGGCCTGTGCTGGTGGTATGGATGACTGAGGACTGTGCTAGAAGACATGCTACTTGATAAGTGAGGCTGATAGCCTTCAGTTGCTTCCTTGGTTGGGATAAGGCATTAGCAGGGACTATAACAAGAGGAAAATCCTTCCCAGGTCAAGCCTTGGGACATAGGCTGGAATGTCAGGAAGGCCCCAAAATGGGAGAAAACCAAGCTGTTTTCAGGGTAAAGAGATACCTTTCAAAGAGCTTTAGGTTCCTTGGAGAAGGCCACAACTCTTGAAAGCTGGCACATGCCCACACACTGGCATGGCTGTCTACCAGGTACTTCAGGTGGGAGTGCACCTGCAGAACAACAGAAGCGGGGTGAGTGGGGGGATTATTAAGGGATCTCCTTAGAAGCCATGCCTCTGGAACTCTGGAAGACAAAATGTAGACAGATGTAGGGTCTCCTTCCCCTTCTGTATCCCACTGGCAAAGGTCCCAAGTCTCTATGTCTTGAAACAGTTGCTTTCAATAGAGAAAAGAGCCCAGAAACAAGTTTCTCTGTGGCTCTAAAGGTGGAAACAGTAGTCTTGGAAGAGGGAATAAAGCACCTAGACTGAGAAAGGGGATGGTATCTCTGTAAGAACATATACCTGCATGGATCAGGGAAACCAAGTCTAGTGGGAGCAGCTAGGACAGAAATCTGTTTTGTGCTGCTCTGCCTGGAGCCTTGCTAGTAGGAGCACAGCTGGAGCCGGGAGGTAATCAGGGGCTTTTGGAAAAGATTGACACACTTGACGGTGGCCTCAGGTAGTACCTGGAGCCTCTGCCCTGGGCAGGAGCCCTGATTACAGGATAGCAATTTAAGCACTAATGTTCCCACTGCCATCGGAAACCCAGCATCCATGGATGTTATAGCCCAATGGAGGGGGCTTTGGGAGTTAGAGAAGTAGGTTCTTGTCTTCCCACTAATTTACTATATATGCCCTGGGTTAAGTCACTCAAAAATGAGACTACAGTTCCAGTATCTGTCAAATAACTCCCAGAGTCCCCTTCAGTATCAAATATTATATGGGATTTGTCCTCAAGAATATACTTTTATTCTTTTTAATATTCTCATTTCTTTAAAAAATTTTATTTTTCAATTACAGTATTATATTAGTTTCAGGTATAATGTCTTATTTCTTAAGAGATGCAAATTTTACTGCCATAAGAGTGTTTTCTCTGTTAAACATTATAATGTGTGCTACAGTTCAGCTTTCCTACAATCAGAACAACCTCAAGCATCTATTGACAATATCATCCTTGTTTCTCTGCCCTCTTTTGAAGCCAAAGTTCTGACATTTAAGAACATGAAGCCTTGATGGTACGACCAACAACTCTAGGGCTGATAATATTTTCATCTGGCAACTTACAGATCGAACTGCTAGGATGTCCCCAACAGAAAGCCATTTCAGGATATGAAAGAGCACATCTTCTGGGAGATTCAAGATGGTTAGGTTTCGGGGTCTCCTTCTTATTCTTCGCTTTGTAGGATAACAGAAACACTTGGCACACCTACAGTGGATCACTGAATAAAAAGAATCAGAATAGTCTAAATGATATATTGGAAAGGAGTTGTACTGATACAAAAAGTTGTATCTGAAGATGATTTAAAAGTTACTGTCCCCTGCCCCACAAAAGGAACCAGTCATATTTCTAGTCCCAAACGAAGAATAAAGGAGTATATTATAACAGAAGACATAATCATTCATTCAAATACTCAGTAAGCATTTATGGTGAACAGCAGATAATCATTTAACTTGGCCACTGGGAAACTTTCTGTGGGAAATGTTCTGATCCGGAGCCCAGATGACAACCAGGAAGGGGAAAAAGCAGCCAACGATGATGAGGTCTCTCAACAAAGCGCTCCGGGAAACTTGTTGATCCCTTTGCTTCCATTTACACGACTAAAATGCATAATGTTCAATAAGGATACGTGGACTTGAACAATTGGGTGTTCGACTCCAAACTAGGAGGGAAGCAAAGGCTGACCTTGGAGGCCAAGCCAGTCCCGTATCCATCCTCTCTCCCCATACAGGATCATTCCAACTCCAGCGGCTCCTTCCTCATTCTAAGCAGAAGGCTTAGAACCTCCCCGCAGAAGCCTCTCACCTACAATTTACCTGGTTTTCCACCCGCTCCTCTCTTTTGTCCCGACAGGAGAGGTCTGCTCTCCCCTGCAGCACCCCGCCCATCGTCTGGCTCTTCACCTGGGTCTTCCCATCAACAGTTAACGCGGCGGCGAAAGCCAAGCGTACACTCAGGGCGACCAGTTCCCCAAATTACATGGATCTTACCACACTGTCCTCATTCCCTTAATGTAGGACAGACACGGAAACGCTTAACCGCCACGGTGATTACCACCGAAACCACGGCTGCGCTCACAGCCCTCGACAGGTGCCGGGACCCGCGCGGGGCTTTCACGAGGACCTGGGCGCCGCCTAGTATTTAAACCGCGCGCCGGGCAGGTGCCGCCGGGATCCCAGGACGAAGGGCTCGAGCCAGCCTGTGCAGTCTCGGGTCGCCCGCCCGCTGCCGCCCGCGCCCCGTGACCCGCGCTCACCACCGCCGCTCCCCATCTCCACCTGCGCCGCCACCTCAGCCGCCGCAGCCTCAACTTCGCCGCCGCAGCCTCAACTTAGCTGCCCCGGCCGCCCGCCAGCCCTGCGCTCACCGCCCCACGCACGCGCAGACCCGCCCCGCCGCCCGCCCTAGTTTTCAAACGCGCCCAGTGCTTCCATTGGCCAGTCCGGGGGGGGGGCGGGCGCGCGCAGCTGGACTACAGGGCTCCACCTCAGCGCCCTTCCCACTCACCGGCTTCGAGCGGCTGCGATTGGCCGCGCCAAGACGCGAATTCGAACGCCGGTCGTTAATTGGTGGAGCTCACGAAGCCGCTCGGGCTCCGGTCTGAGCCGGGATACCTGTGGAGCACCGCTCAAGGCTCGGTGTTTAGGAAATTCTTTACTCCGAAAGGGCCGCGTTGTACCCGGCTGTTCGGTGTTTGGGCCTCGCTGCTTGACTTCGGCGGATAAGGTCCTGCCCACCGGAACCCACGGCGAGCAGTGGGTTGTCGGTGAAGGTCTGTGCGGACGGGCTCCGCCTCCGGGCGCTAGGTCTTGCATTAGGGCGCGGTGCAGCCGGGACCCCGACGGGTCCTCAACCTGTGCGGACGCAGACGAGCCGGTATCCGCACGCGGCGGCCAGGCGGCCCCTGACCTGCCCTCACCCTGAGGCCGCACGCCCTGCTCGTTCGTGCTTCAGGCGAGGAGACCCCTGGTTCGCCCCCAAGCCAGACTGCATAAATTGTAATGCAGAAAGTAAAGTTGGAGATCTGGGCTTGAAATTAGCCAGCACGTTTGACCCCTTCTTCCCCCAGGCTTATCCTGGACCCTTACTCCATACTTGCCTCAGGGGAAGCCCTTAACCCTCTCACTTTGACCAGAGATCCTCTCCCCAAGTCTCTCTTTGCACTCTCTCTGAGAGACCTTTGTTTTTAAAAGGGAAGTGGCCTTGGCTTGGTGTGGCTCAGTGGACTCTCGCACATCACATCGACGTTTCTCTCCCTCTCTCCCTCCCTCCCCCTCTCTCTAAAAATAAATAAAAAATTTAAAAGTGACGTGGACACCTATTTGATTTACTGGTTACTGCAGGCCACAGCTGAACATTCTGTTCATTCTGAAGTATCTGGCAGTGTCCGTTCATATGGGCTGTCTTTTCAGGAACCAACTCGTATCTTGCTTCTCTCATGAACCATTCTAACAAGGAAAGAAATTCAATCTCCTAGGCTGTGTGATGGAGGACAGACTGGTTTGCCTGGAGAAGCTAGGGAATCTGTGTTGAGTCATGGCTCAGACCTCCCACAGCCTCAATCAACTGTGATGTCCCCTTTGTCCCCCTGTCCCCCGTGCTCACTGAACCTCATGGTGCCCAGGTTTCATGGCAGTCTGGAGCGGGAAATGGAGAAGTGAGAAGATGGGTGATCACAACAAGGGATACAAGAGTTTCAGTGGTCCCAAAAATGACAAGGGACGGAGCCTCCGGAAGTTGGGGGTGGTTGAGGGGGCGAGGGTGATGTGCATAGAAAGTCCAGTGGATAGAGCTGAACAAGCTTGGAACCCACTCCTGAGATGTCCCACATTGGGAGCTGGGAGAAATCAGTGGGAGGACCTCTCAGATTGCTCATCCCTCCTCACACCTTTGTTTTCATTGGTTACTGTTTCCTAATTTGTTACTTTGTTGTCCTCCTTCCCTACCTTGTTACTTTGTTACTGACCTCCTCCAGGAAGAGGTGCATTCTTTCAGTGTTAGATTTTGGGAGCACCTTGAAGGCACTAACAAACTGGATTCACCAATGACCAAGTCAGTCATTCACCACTCTAAGTTCCCTGTGATACTATGTCACTGAGTCCAAAGTAGCATTCCTGGTCACTCAAAGTTCCTCAGCTGTACTTTGTCTTTTTTGGAAAAAAAAAACAAAACCCAAAAACAAAACTTCACCCAAGGATATGTTTATTGAGTTTTTAGAGAGAGGAAGGTGGAGAGAGAAAGAGAAACATCAATCTGTTGTCCTGTAGCCCAACCGGGGATCAAATACACAACCTAGGTGTGTGCCCTGACCGGGGACTGAACCTTTTGGTGTACAGGACCATGTTCCAACAAAATGAGCCACCAGGCCCGGGCTCCTCAGTCTTGTCCTTATCACTCATTCATTCAGCAGTAAAGTTTTCTTAATTTTCAGGAAACAGGTGTTCTCCTCTTGGCTGTGTTGCAGCCACACCTTCCCTAACCTCCACCCACTGCTCTAGCAGTAAGAGCCCCTAGAGACCAATGTGGTGTGAAACAGAGGGTATATGAAGAGCCCATTTCTCATTGGGCTTCAGGAGGGTGAGGGAACACACTGGAAAAGTCTAGACTGTGGGGAGCTCAGGGAAGTTTCTAGTTGGAATAAGATGGCATCTGAAAGCCTGGGAGTGAATGAGAAAGGAATTCAAAAGTGGCAGAGTGCATAGAGGAGAATAAGGAAACATGAAGTAGAGTGGGAACCCAACAGATCCCACTATTCAGAGAGAAAGGAAGAAAAGCCTACAGAGGAAGCAGAGAAGGGGCCATGGTGCGACAGAGAACCACACGAAGTGGGGAGGCCACAGGAGGGGTTTTCATCAGAAGGCTGCAGGGGACATTGTGAAATGCCACAGAGAAGTTACAGAGAAAAATGCAGGGAGAAACCAGTGGGTGTGGTCGCAAGAGATGTGATAATGTTGTAGTTTTGGGTGAGTGGTGATGAGAGGTAGGAAGTGTGGGCAGCGATGGTAGACAACATTCTCCTGGAGCTTAGTTGAGAAGGGAGAGAATGACCTGCAAAGGAAGAGGTGAAGGGGCTTTTTAGAGGGGTCCAAAGTGACCCCACTGGAGAGAGAAAGGCTGCTTGATAGGGCGTGTCTCAGAGGAGATCCTTGTGACAGAGGTGCACAGCCATAACCATCCACCCTCACAGGCTAGACAGGACAATGGTCTGGAGCACACAGGCCTTGGGTTCTGTAGTTCTCACACCTGGCCTGCAACAGAAGCACATGTTAACATGGGGCTTATTTCAATGCAAATTGCTGGGTCTAGTCCCAAAATTTCTGACTCAGCAGGTCTGGGGTGGGGCCCATGAACCTGCATTTCTAACAAGTTCTTGATGCTGCTAATGCTGTGGTCAGGAATGCTCCTTTCAGAACCTTCTCTGCCTAAGTCGAATGTTGGCTCTATACCTTCTGACTATGGAAAATTGCGGAAGTCTAAGTCCCAGCTCACTCATCTGGGCAATGGTATAATGATCACAACCACTTCATGGGTTAGAGTGGGGTCACATGCAGGCTTACCCTAACATTTGCAGGGGCTAGGGCAGAGCAAATCCAAATATGTACCTGTTGAAAAATTGTGACTCAGGCTGCAAACTCATCGATCTGTCTCTCCTATCTTCCGAAGTATGGCATCATTATAACCATGGTCACCCTCAGGCCACTACCTCTTGAGAGCACACAGCAGCTGTTTCTCTGAGGTTGCTTCCACAGACAGGCCTCAGTGAGGCCATAGGCCACCAGGTAGGACTCAAGGAAATTATTTTCTACCGAAATGCACATGGGTTCTTCACCAGGCCTTTAAGATGAGCAGCCTCAATCTAGCACAGAGCACCCCAACCCTCTGCCCCTGAGCTGAGCTTGCTGGGACCACCAGCTGCCTCTGTAACCCTTGTAGCCCATAGCAGGCTATGCACAGTTGGGCTAACCTGGTACTGAGAACTGTTTATTATAGCAAGACAGACTTTGAGGGAAGTGGTGAGGGAGGTTGGGAGGAAGATGGTAATGATGAGGGACCTATTGGCTCTGACTGCCTTTCCTTGTTTTTCACTCGGTTGGGGGACCCAGGGCAGGTGAAGCTCAGGAAGATGTCCTCCAGGGAGACCTGGTTGACTGAATAGTCATGTATCATGTACTTCCTCTTGTTTTGCTCCAGAGTGCCAAATACCTGTGGGAAGGGAGGAGGCCACTGTGGATGGTGGCCACAAAGGAGGGGAGAGGAGACAACAGAGGGTGGAAAGAGGGGAAGCCTTTGGGGTTGTGACAAGGCCCCCAGAAGGCCCATCCCTCATTCAGCTGCCCCCAGAGCATTCCCAAGTCAGTCGTACAGATTTCAGCTGTCTGCAATCTCAGGGAAAAGGACCCTGCTTAGGAATGGTGCCAATAAGCAGAGGTCCTGGCTGGGTCCTTGGCTTGCTGTGTGATGCTGGGTACATGGCGTTCCCTGTCTGGGCCTGCTGCCCTCTCTGTGAAATGAGGAGGAGCTGATCTCCAGGGTCCCTTCCAGCTCAAACATCTTATATTCTATGAAATCCATGGGAGCGTTGCCATGGAGACACCAGAGAGGAACTGCAGCAGCACTGATCATAACTTCTAACCAAACGAGAATACACCAGAAAGCAGGCAACATCAGAGCTGTGCTTCCTCCAATGCCCAAGTATGTGCTCGCCTTTGCCCAGCTGAGGTCATCTCCAGACAGGTGGTAATGGACCATCCCTTAGTGCTCATCTTCCAGGACGCTGCTTGCACAAAGGAGAAAATGTGTGCCCATTAGGGTCCAGCTGGAGGGCCAGGGAAGGGTGGCCTGGGCCCACAGAATTGCAGCCCTCATCCTAGGGGTCAGAAATATGGGACTTGGTAGGGGCAAGGGTCAGATGCCCTCTGTGTAGTGTCACACACCTGGGAAGGTCAGGTCCACAAATGCCTTGAATTCATGCAGCGCCCCCTGCTGCCCATTGCTCCTGACCTTGGCCCGCAAGGAGTAGCCGCTGCCAAACTTGCTCTTGAGGTGCTGCGGGCTGCCCAGGCACTTGAACTGACCCTGCACCATGATGGCCAGCCGGGTGCACAAGGCCTCACAGTCCGCTGGGGAGAGGAGCTGGAGGCCTGACACAGGTTGGGTGTCAACACGCAGATCATAGGTGGCCTGCGTGCTACAGCCTGGGGATTCTCCTTACAGATTCTGTACCAGCGATGTCAGGTCTCTCTCCACCCAGCCCCTCCCAGGTCATCCTTCCCACAGCTCCTGTCCTGGCTCATCCATTGACCCACAAAGCCCCCAGCTCTATGTATGGGAGGTGATGATGCTGGTCTTGCCGGCCCCGCAGACTCTCACCACAGTACCCCGAAGGAAGATGCTGGGCCACGGGGTCCATGCCAGTGGATGGCTCATCCAGGAAGGTGGCTGGAGGCTCCCTAATCAGGGCAATGTCAGTGCTTATCTTCTGCTTATTGCCACTGCTGGGGGCAGAGTGGAGGAAGGTTGGGGTAAATAGCAATTGTCAACCCCCAGTAGTCCACCCCTCCACCTCTTTTATCCTCTGTCCAGAAAGTACTCTCATTTGCTGGTGGGGCTTTTAGTAATATAGCCCACTACCTTCCCCCAGGGTGACAATAATGTTATAAAACTTAGCTGTCCACTCTGAGTATAAACGATTCCCCTGAATACAGGGTTCAGTCCAGGTGAATATATGGTCAACGAGTCTTCTTTGAGGATTTCTATGGGCACTAAAGATAAGGGCAAAGTACCATTTTATTTATTTACTTTTAACATGTAATTCTTTTATTATTCTGTAAAAGATAACAGAATATACAGAAAAAACTTTCCTTTTTTAAAACTTATGTTACAAATCCATATCATGGCTTATATATAAATACTATACAGCTGATCATAATTAGGTGTGTTAAGTCCAACAATGTAGCCCTCTAACTGTTAAAAAAACAAACAAACAAACAAGAAAAATCTATCCAAGAGTGGAGTGTCCTTCAGTGTTGCTTATTTTGAATGATCATAGGATTTTGTCAATTTAGGGAAGAATCACTGTGTGTGCACGTCTGTGAAAGAGTGCTTTAGACTCAGTTTTCAAAGTAATTTTTACCCCTCAAAAAACATAATAACAAAGATGTACACTTCACAGAAATCAAGTACAAATCAACCAGCCTGAGCTAATTTCAAATACAGAAAAGAGTGTGACACAGAATAAAAGCCATGATGTGGTTTTCTTGAATTGTATTGAATCTTGTATCGTACATGTTGACATGGAGTTTGTTATTAAGACTTTACAGGCATCTTTCCTCAGTTCAGTCAGTTCCTGTTTCAAGCATAAGAGAGGATATTAGTCAATAATAATAATAATAATAACAATAATAATAAAAAATCAGGCCTGTTTGGCACTATGATACAAATGGGAAACTAAACCAGGGGCACTTCCACTGGTCCCAGCCCCAGAATATTCCCACTGAAATAACTACTCACTTTTTAAAGAAAGTGGAGTATAAAGAGGGGACTAGGTTTAAAGAACTATTCAATACAAATACAAGTTTTAGTCTGTGTGTGACCCTATGTGAGCTCAAGCAAGAGGCTCTGTCTGCCCTGCCCAGTGTGGGCCTTCACATGGCCTGGAACTTACCAGTGCTCTATTTCATGTTGCCCTGCCAGTTCTGCCGCAAGGTCTTGGACTTGTCCTGGGCTTGCCTCGTGTTCTTACTGTGGATGATGTTGTGGGTCCCCTTGTTTTCATCTCTGCCCTGGGATAGCTCACTGGACAGGATTCTAGCTGCTGCTGCATGCGTTCTTCCTTGGCCTTGGCAATCCGCTTCTCCTTTTTGTGGTTGTCCAGGATGCCCTCGCTGAACAGCTCAGCACCATAGGTTGTGTACTTCATGCCCTCCTCCTGCAGGTCCTCTTGGATGTGACAGCTCACCAGCGCATACACAGAAGAGGGGTGGGACTGCCATCAACCAGGTACAGCTCCTCCTTGGTCTTCGCCAGGTCATCCTAGGCTTCTTGGGCCCTGTGCGGCCACTCCTCCACCTCGTCTTCCTTATGTCTAAGCATCTCTTCCAGGAGGGCAATTTTGGTGGTGTAATTGGCGAGTTTTGCAGCCAGCTGTCCCCGGCTTTTTATCTGACCCACCGCCAGCCTCTCCAGCTCCTCCTTGGCTGCAGTGCGAGGGGCTGGCCTCCAGGCACCTCCTGTGTGCTTCCTCTCCTCCTCCCGCTGCAGAGCCGGAGGGCCACTTTAACTAACTTTTTAAAAATGAACACATAGCGTTTACAATGTACAAGGCGCTGTTCTAAACATTGCAAATGTTAACTATTCTTCAAAAGACATAAAAAAAGGCACACAAAAACCTGCTTGAGGCTGAAGCCACGAGTGAAGGAAGAACCAAGTACAACATCCCTGACCCCTGGGCATCTCTGCCTTCCCAACCTGGGGTGTGGGGAACTACTGCAAAATGTTCAGGGGGTGCTATGCATAACTTTAACAGAATTCAGGGACTCAGGAGATGTGTGGCCTGGCTTTGTTTAAGCTAATTGGAGTCGAGTTAATGTCACGGGCAACAGAAGATTGAGGAATACTCCCAGGCTTCTCAGCAGAATATGAGCAGCTCAGATGCCTCAGACACAGCAGGAAAAGGTAATCTGTGCTTGAAATGCAAGCCTACTAAAATCAGAACTTTGTGCAGTGGCAGGAAGAAAGGTCTGTCCTTACCCTGTCAGGACAATAACACCTGTGGTGCTGCTACCTCACCTCAGCCACATAACTGCCCAGGGCCAAGAGCAGGCAGTGCCTCAGGGCAGCCAAGACCATTGACCTGTTCTTACAGGAAGGCTACCTCGCTGCTGATCCATGAAGTGGCCTGGCCTGCACAGCTGCCCTCAGCCTGGGGCTAATGGGCCTTGGCCTACACCCCAGCACCGAGCAGAGCCGGAGCACATCTTATCGCTGGAGGTGGCAGGCCCAAGGGAGCTCCAACTCTTATTGTGTGTCCTCACCAGCTGGTCTGAGTTTGTGTTCATGAGTAAGTCATCAAGAATTTGGTCCACACAGGCACTGATGTGGTGCTCAGGGATGCCCTGGAGCCGGGTGTATGTGACCAGTGTCTCCCGGCCTGCCATGTGGTCCAACAGGGCATCAAACTGGGGGCAGTAGCCAACCCACTTCTGCACCTGGGGTTGGCACGAGCCCGAGAGTGAGACACATCAGAAGGAAAGCTGCTCACTGAACAACTGCCTTGGCCTTGCCCCAGCTCAGGCTCCTGCCTCTGTCCTGTGCATACCCACATTTGCCACATGTGTAGACATGTGCCTTAGGGATGAGTGGGACATCAGTGATGTCAGGGACCCTGAGATGCAGGGCTCACTGTTGGTATCTATAAACAGGTGCACATGGGGCTGGAGCACTTACTCAGCGCCCCACCCCTGCCCACCTGGCATGAAACCTCAGCACCTAGCACCTCCCTACTTCTTGTCACCTTTCAAGTGTCTGGTCAATAGAAGATGCTCTATTTTTCCCCTTTAAAAGTATTTCCTGTTAGGCAGTTGGAATCTTTTGTTGGAACACTGCCCCAGGCCTTGTGAGGTCAGGTTGGTGTGCACCTCCCGACTTTTGCATGGTCATGCACTCCTTGCAGATGATGACCATTTTGTGTTGCTTTTGCCAAGCAGTATCATTCTGTAACTTGCTTTTCTAGCTCAAAATATGTCTTAAAGATCTTCCTCAGTCAGTAACCATAGACATACTCTGACTCAGTTAACTATAATTTAGTCATCCAGGAAAGGTTTCTAGATTTTACTTAGCTGATCATAAAAAACGCAGGCACATTTGAGTTATTTCCAGATTTTTGCCATTATGAACTTCTAGAGAACCACACTGATTTGTGCCCATGCTCAAATACTCCTCTGGAGTAGATAATGAACACAGAATACATTTTGGTAAACTAACCAAATTTTCTTTCCCCGTCTTCCTCCCTACTTTACGCAGTTGGACGGCTTGGGCTCTGGGGCCGGGGGAGTGCTGAGAAAAAAACAGGTGACTTGCATGAAGATGCTTCAAACATTTCACTATTAAATATGAAGTTTCTGGTACATTGCCTTTATCAAGGGATTTTAACCTAATGTTTCTTCTATTTCTAGTTTGCTAAAATTGTTTTTTAAATCATGACTTGGTAGTGTGTTTTTTTCAAATGCCTTTTAAACATCTATTAAATATTTTTCTCCTTTCGTCTATTAAGGTAGTGATTTATATTGTTGGCTTTTTCTACTGTTGAACCTTACTTACATTTCTGGGATAAACTGGACTTGATCATAATTTTTATCCTTTCAATTTACTACTAAATTTGTATTGTTAATATTTTATTTAGGGTACTTACGTTCCTACATGAAACTGGCCCATGGTTCATTTTGGGTCCTTGTCTGGTTTTATCACCTCTTACGAGTTGGTAGCACCCCATCTTCTCTCCCACGATTTTGAAAGGTTCTCCAAGAAGGAAATGACCTGTTTGGTAGTGGTTGATAGACTTGCCCATCAATCCCATTCAGCCTAGACTCTTAAAAGAAGGGTTTAGTCTTTGACCATTGTTACTATATATATTTTTTATCATCACCAGACGACACTTTCATTTGCTTTTTTAGAGAGAAAGAGGGAGAGAAACACTGATGCAAGAGAAGCATCAATTGGTTGCCTCAGTACGCACCTAGACTTGGAATCTGCACGGGGACTGGGGGTCACATGCCCCCATATCTGGCCAGGGGATGAACCTACAACCTAATTATATGCCCTGACCAGGAATTGAACTCTCAACCTTTTGGTTGCAGGACAATGCTCCAGCTACTGAGTCACACTGGCCACGGCTGACCATCATTATAATTATATCTCTGGTTTTGGTCTATACAGACAGGTTTTCTCTTTCTTTTTAAAGATTTTATGTACTTATTTTAGAGAGGGGGAGGGAGGGAGGAAGAGAGAGAGAGAAACATCAATGTGTAGTTGCCTCTCACATGCCCCCCACTGGGGACTCAGCCCACAACCCAGATATGAGCCCGAGACTGGAAATTGAACTGGCAACCCTTTGGTTCACACGCTGCCACTCAATCCACAGAGCCACACCAGTCAGGACAAGGTTTTCTATTTCTTAAACTAACCTTGGGATAGAAGTCTCGAAAATGTAATTTAATTTACAGAAAATGAAGAAATGTGACATTTCTTACACCCCTGAGTTTGGCATAAGCCTGTTGCCATGGTGACTCATCTAGGATAGCCAAGGAGCCCTGTTCAACATGTAGTGGCACCACGGACTATGACAACTTTACAGTGGGGCTAAATAATTCTGAGGCAGTGAGTGACTCAGGCAGAAATGCGTGTGGACTCTCAGAAGTCACTGCTGATATCTGGAATAACAACAGGTATGGTAAGACTATATTTTAGAAGATGTGAAAGAATGCTTTAAAATCCTTGTATAGATAGAGGGTGATGAGCAGAAGGCTCACAAAGGTAGAGAGCAGGGACACTTTGTTAGAGTTTTCTAATTATTTAATTCAAGTGAGACTTCTAGGAAAAAAAGAGGCAGAGGAGCAGGTTTAACATGATTTAAATTCCATATTTACAACTATGAATTTTTATAAACCGCCAAGAGGTAATGTGTAGTTGGGTTCCAGGAAGCCTGATATCCAATCCTTTGCCAGCTAGGCAGGATGAGGGCCTTGCAGCAGATGTCATTTGTTTTTAAATAATACAAGGAAATGTAACATTTCTTATCACCCAAGTTTATGGAATAAGTTTATATTTTCTCCAATGTAAGCTTCAGTAAATGTATGTTGATGGATAACTGATGAAAATAGGGCCAGATGGAGAATCTTCCCAGGACCATGTGTCCTTGTCCCATTTTTCCCTTTTTTCCTTCCTTCCTTCCTGCCTTCCTGCATTTCTCTTTTCCTTCCTTCCATCATTTTAAAAAGATTTATTTATTTACTTTCAGAGAGAGGAGAAGGGAAGCAGAAAGAGGGAGAGAGAAACATCAATGTGTGGTTGCCTCTCACGCACCTGCTACTGGGGACCTGGCCAGCAACCCAGGCATGTGCCCCAACCGGGAATCAAACCAGTGACTCTTTGGTTCTCAGGCCACTGAGATCATGTGGGTATTTGTCTTTCACCAACTTAGGCTTATTTCACTTAGCATAATATTCTCCCATTCCATCCATGTTGTTGCAAAAGATACGAGTTCCTTCCTTCATTCTGCTGTGTAGTATTCCATTGCGTAAATGTACCACAGTTTTTTGATCCACTCATTTACTGGTGGGCACTTAGGCTGTTTGCAGCACGTGGCTATTGTAAACAGCATTGCTGTGAACATTGGGGTGCATAAGTTCTTTTGAACTGATGATTTGAGATTCTTTTTTTAAAAATTATTTTTATTGTTCTAATACATTTGTCTCCATTTTCCTGCCACCACTTTCCCCTGCCCCACCCTCCGTCAATCCTTCCCCACTTTGGCTTTGTCCATGGGTCCTTTATACATGTTCCTTGATTTGACCCTTCCCCTTCCTTTCCCCGCTACCCTACTCCATCCTTTCCTCTCAATACTGTCAGTTTCTTTTTTCTTTCAGTGTTGCTGGTTATATTTTCCTTGCTTGTTTGTTTTGTTGATTAGGTTCCACTTATAAGTGAGATCATGTGGTATTTGTCTTTCACTGCCTGGCTTATCTCACTTAGCATAATGCTCTCCAGTTCCATCCATGCTGTTGCGAAGGTTAGTAGCTCTTTCTTTCTTTCTGCTGCGTAGTATTCTATTGTGTAAATGTACCAGTTTTTTGATCCACTCATTTACTGATGGGCACTTAGGCTGCTTCCGGAACTTGGCTATTGTAAATCGTGCTGCTATGAACATTGGGGTGCAATAGGTTCTTTTGAATTGGTGTTTTGGGATTCTTAGGATATAATCCTGGTTTGGGATTCTTAGGGTATATTCCCAGCACCAAAATCCCTGGGTCAAAAGGCAGTTCCATTTTTAGTTTTTTTAAGGAAATTCCGTACTATTTTCCATAATGGCTGCACCAGTCTGCATTCCCACCAACAGTCCACTAGAGTTCCCTTTTCTCCCCATCCTCACCAGCATTTGTTGTTTGTTGATTTGTTTATGATGACCATTCTGACTGATGTGAAGTGGTATCTCATTGTGGTTTTAATTTGCATCTCCCTGATGGCTAGTGATGATGAGCATCCTTTCATATGTCTATGGGCCCTCTGTATGTGCTCCTTGGAGAAGTGTCTGTTCAGGTCCTTTGCTCATTTTTTAATTGGATTGTTTGTCTTCCTGGTATGGAGTCATGTGAGTTCTTTATGTATTTTGGAGATCAGACCCTTTTTCGATGTATCATTGGCAAATATATTTTCCCACATGGTTGCTTCCATTTTCATTTTGCTGATCTTTTCTTTAGGCATGCAGAAGATTTTTAATTTGATATAGTCCCATTTGTTTATTCTTTCCTTTATATCCCTTGCTCTAGGGGACAAATTGGTGAAAATATTGCTCTGTGGAATACCTGAAATTTTCCTGCTTATGTTCTCTTCTAGGACTTCTATGGTGTCACAACTTACATATTCATCTTGAGTTTATTTTTGTGTATGGTGTAAGTTGGTGGTTGAGTTTCATTTTTTTTTTTTTTTTTGCATGTAGCTGTCCAGATCTCCCAGCACCATTTTTTTATGATGCTTTTTTCTTTTTATTGAATTAATTGGTGTGACACTGGTTAACAAAAATTATACATGTTTCATATGCACAATTATACAACACATCATCTGTATACTGTATTGTATTTTTACCATCCCAATCAAGTTCCTACCCATTACCATTTACCCCCCTATACCCTCCTCCATGTCCTGACAATTCCATGATATTACTGCTGTGGTACCCAGAATGATAGGTAAGCTACAATATAAGCACTGTTGTTCTCCATGTCAAAAGGGGGAAAAAAGCTGAAATAGTAGATTGTTCTTTAGTTCTTAAAAATTCAACCTGCAAGTAATATAATTCTCTTTTGTTCAGACTTTGATGATAAACAGTCACATAGCCATAGAAAACTTTTTTAAATTTATTTTTTTACTGTTCAAGTACAGTTGTCTCCATTCTTCCACCATCATTTCCCTGCCCTACCCACCCTCAACTCCCACC